CATGCACATATGCATGGAAATGTGATGGAGCTGATGAGTTGAGGCTTTTTGCCTCATTAGCTACATTTTCTTCGTCAATAATAAGCATGCGGAATGTCAGACTCACGAAGAGACTGAATTCTTCAGGTTCCAATCTTTAAAGTGATGTTATGTGTTTATTGACTTTTTACATGCATCAAATATAGATACTAAGATTAAAATACAGATTTGCAGATTCTGAGCTTTACAATGAGGGAGAACATGAGGGTGGAGCTTATGTTTGACAACATGTGGTCTGCATGTTCAAAGAGCCAGCTCTGGGTGGGTCTCTAGTAAATACAAGTGTTGCTAGAGACACAGAGAGACACTTACTGCTCTGCAGGCGCTGGACTAGCTGCTCCTGCTTCATCCTCTTCAGGAAGTCCAGGGCGAACCTCTCTGCTGCTTTTTTCCTCACGCTTAGAGCATTCTGGGTAATTTGAGGTCAGTAGCCTGTGGAGCCTCTGTAGCTGCTCTTTGACAAAAGTCACAACATCCTCCACCAGACGCTGGAACAGAACAGTAAGAGAAGAGTTCACAGAGAGAGACTGAGGAGCAGCCTGAGAAGGCCACACAAGCTGCGGTGATGGATACTCACCCTGAAGATGGCGTCCAGTGGCTCCTCTGGATCTGGATCCCTGTGAAACACACTCAGCATTTATTGAGTCTGCATGGGGAAAAGAAGAACACGGAAATTTGTGGTTCTATAAAAATCAGAGGTTGGGGAGTTTGTATACTGATCCTAGGAGCAGGTCCTAGGTGACGAGTCCGACCAAGCGCAGTCCAAAACCCACCCACACAGCGGGCTGCTGCCTGGGCAGTTGCAGAGGCAAAGACCCGGGACTGGGAGGAGTTCGGAGAGTCCATGAAGAACGGGTCAAATGAATGACACGTGTCCTGCTTGTGCCGGCTAATGCACATGAATCAGCCTCCGCTCTGAAAGTGTTTTTTCACTATTTTCTTGCAGGAGCGGCTGCTCACGGCCATTTTGAAACAGTCCGTGAGCGTGGGTCAAACATACATGTACATTTCAACTAATATATACAGTCACTTGCTCAAGTGGAGGAGTATCTCGGGGTCTTGTTCACGAGTGAGGGAAGGATGGAGTGTGAGGTTGACAGGCGGATTGGGGAAGCTTATGCAGAAATGCAGAGATTGTATCAGACCGTTAAGGTGAAGAAGGAGAAGAACTCTGAACTTACCAGACGAGCTGAGAACTGTGTCTCTCAACTGGCCTGGGAACGCTTGAGAATTCCCCCAGATGAGTTAAAGTGGAAGAATCCAGGCTCTGAAAGCGGCTCCAGAGAGAATGCTAATAAACCAGCGTCTGCAACTGTAACATCTGATTTACAATAAAAGACATCTATGATGTTCGTCTACAAGTCTCTGTGAAGAAGGACTCAGAGGCTTCTCTTTATTTCAGGACCCCCTTGAAAAAGAGATGGTTCATCTCAAGGGGTTATCCTTAAGAATAAATAAATAAATAAAATTAAAAATTAAAAATTCCCTCAGTGTGAAGACCCGCTCCTCGTGTCTTCATAGATTCTACATTGATACTGTTTATTTACAAAGTGTCACAGAACCACAGTCTAGCTCTGATGAAGGACGAGACAACACTGTCTTAAGAACATTAAGATTTAAGTCTCACCTCTGATCTTCAGGACCATCTTCTCTAAAGTTTGGAGGAAATTGTTTGGACCAGTCACTTTTCAGAGACTGAGAGCTGGGAGCAGGTCCAGGTCTAGGTCCAGGTCCAGGTTTAGACCCGGGGCCAGATCCTTGTGTCTCCATGTTGTAGAGGCTGAAATCAAAACAAGAGCCAATGTGAAGTCCCCACAGGTTTGGACTTGGATTTGATTGACGTCCAACTTTTCTAGAGACCAGTCGTCCCTGTTTCTCTGGGACTGTCCCAGTTCTGAGCCCTGTGTCTCAGGTCCCATAGCGCATTTATCCAAAACTTAGCCTGGCCTTAGCCATCCGTACACTCCGTTCAATCATAATTTCATTGCATGTAACGTCTGGGTCTGGTCCCCATGTTAGCGATTACAATCGGTTGAATTTCAACCGACCACTCAGAGAGCGCAGAAGGCAGGTGTTGTAGTTAGTTGTGGGTGATGTCAAGAGTTTGTGCCGGACAGGAAGGTTGTGGTTTGGCAATGGCGAAAAATGCGATAGTAAAGTAATCTGGTCTGGTTCTATCAAGAAATTGAAGCTGGAGCAAGAGGAATGTTTAGCAAATGTAATCTCTGGAAAAATCGTGGCGCTACTCCCCACGGGCCCCGTTAGCGGCAAAGGAGATGGCTAGGTTAAATGCTAAATGCTAACGGCAGACTCGGGCGCATTACATACGTCACGGTAAACTCTGATCCAATCGTTTCAATCTGCAAAAGAAGATAACCCCTCCCACCTGTAAACGGAGCTCAATGAAGCACCTCCAGACCTTAGTACGAAATGTCATTTGTACTATGGTGTGGTACGACCAGGCTATCCAAAACTAGTTTGTTACAGTTTTTGTTAAGCCTCTCTTTCAGCACACAGTGACTGTGTCACAGTGAGCACTAAGAGAAGCCCCACCAAGCCCAAGGTCTGATCTGATCCCTGTGACCTCTGAACCCTGGAATCCTGACTTCTGTGATCCCTGTGACTTCTGCGAACTTTCAAAACCTTGTTTGTCTCACTTCAAGGAGCTGATCTTAAACAGTCTTTTTAGGTTCTACATTGTTGCTGTTTATTTACTTTGCTCTGATGAAGGATGAGACACAGCATTGTCTTAAAAACATGTGGTCTAAGACTCGCCTCTGATCTTCAGGACCATCTTCTTTAAAGTTTGGAGGAGGAGTCATAGACCTGTCACTCTTTAGAGACTGAGAGCTGGGAGCAGGTTCAGGTCTGGGTCCAGGTCCAGGTTTAGACCCGGGGCCAGATCCTTGTGGCTCCATGTTGTAGAGGCTGGAATCAGAACAAAAGTCAATGTGAAGACTTCTCTCCCACAGATTTGGACTTGGATTTGAAGGTTTTGACATCAGCCTTTAGTCCTGCAGCTCATGTCTCTTTGCCGTGTGTGTGATGTCCTCAGTGTAGAACAGATAAAGGATCTTTTCTAGAGACCAGTCATCCCTGTTTCTTCCAGGACAGTCCCAGCTCTGAGCCCTGCGTCCCAGGTCCCAGCGCATTTATCCAAAACTAGTCATTTGTTACAGTTTGATGAGTCCCTTTCCTCCTGCTTACTTCCTGCATTAGCCTGTTCTTCTCTGTGATTTCTCATGTTACTGTCATGTTTCTAATGCCCTCAGAGTCTGGTGCTCCTGGCGCAAGCAAAGTCTCAGAGATTAGAGGACTGGGTGAGTATCACTGGCACTGCCCTAAGTTGGTAAGTTTTATATAGAAGACAGGAAGATTGGAAACTGTCTCTCAATTCAAATGGCCCTGACCTGCGGAGTACCACAGGGGTCGATCCTGGAACCTCTTCTGTTCAGGCTCTACATGCTGCAGTTCATAGACAGTAGCAACATATCTTATCACAACTACGCAGACGACACTCAGATTTATGTTTCACTGACTGCAGGAGAACCTGGACCAACCAGTGGACGTCACTGCATCCAACAGATCAGTGAGTAGATGCTAAATAACTTCCTTCAGCTAAACTCTAACTTTAATTCAGACTTGGAGATTCTTATCCATGTATTTCTAGTAGGTGCTGCTCACCAGTCTCTCCAAACGAGATGTAAAACAGCTGCAGTACTGTATATTCAAAATTCTGCCGTTTGAGTCCTGACTAGAACCAGGATGTCCACTCACGTTAGTCCTGGTCTCAGCAGTCCCGAGACCAGGACTAACATGAGTGGACTTCCTGGTTCTATTCAGGATTCAAACTGCAGCATTTTGAATATACTGCAGACCTTAGTACATGGTGTTTTAAAACTATGCATAAGTGACATTAAAATTTGATGTCCAGTAGGGGGCCATCAAATATCTTTTTGTTTGTTGACGACTGTGGTAAATCAAAGTTTGTGAGCCCCAGGTTTGAGTGAAGGCTTTGATTTGTCTTGTGTTTATGTTTGTGTGTAAATATACTTGTGTATATACTGTATACTGTCTTTTCCTTTACATTTTCCCCTTGGCTCCTCCCACTTCCTGTGTTCCTTATTTAAGCTTGTGTTTTATTGTGGACTTGGAACCTCTCTGACCAGACACTCAGGCTTCACTCAAAGACTGGACTCAAAATAAAGGAAATATAATCAGGGAACCACAACCCCTGCCTTAGACCTACTTCAGACCGGGTTTAGAGCTGGGTTAGACATACTTTGGTCCTGGTTCAGACCTGGTTCAGTCCCTGTCAGAGCTAGAGTTGGGGTCTGTATATGGTTGGATATAATAATGTCTGAATATAAATCCTGGTTAAAACTCACCTCGTCTGCGGCGGCTCCACTCGCTCCTACACTAATTATTGTTGAGTCTTCTGTTCATATCTTAAATTTTAAAAATGCAGAACTAGGTTACATTGTTTTCAACTTACTTTAAAAAGGCATGTCATTTCAATAAAGTTTCTGATTGGAGAACGTACCAACATGTCTGGCCTACACCTGATGAATGTTTACTGCTCTAAATAGAAACAGTAGAAAATAGTTTTAAGGGCAGCAGTCCGATCATAGTGCCCATGTTTGGTGATCTTTGTTCGTTTGGGGGGTCCCGCTTAGATTACAGATTTTCCCCCAAGACTGTACTTCATTCAAAAAGGCAGCACATGTCCCGTCCCCAGCCCAGGCAGCTGTTGTATTTAAAGAGTGTTCCCAGAGCATTTTGCACAGCTCATTTGCAGCATCAGAAACGCATTCAAGGATGGTATGTCTCTGAATCTTTGCTTTTGTTTCCACTTTAAATCATGTCTTCATTTGGATATTGTTTTATAGGCCAGCAGAAAGACAAAGAAGAAGGAAGGAGGTGCTAAAAGAGCGCAGAGAGCATCATCCAATGTTTTCTCCATGTTTGAACAAACCCAAATCCAAGAGTTTAAAGAGGTAAGAAAATAATGTCTTGTGTGGTAAATATAATAACATGAATGAATACTGGTTAATATCCATGTTCTGTGATTCAGGCTTTCACTTTAATTGATCAAAACAGAGATGGATTCATTGATAAAGAAGACTTAAAGGACACATATGCATCTTTAGGTCGGTACTGTTATGTATTTATGAATGTGTTATTGGTAAGAAATAACCTTTAATGTGAACTTTAAAGGAAAACTTAATGTGAAAGACAATGAGCTTGAGGATATGTTAAAAGAAGCAACTGGACCCATCAACTTCACCATGTTTCTAACTTTATTTGGGGAAAAGCTGCATGGTAAAATCTGTCTGTGATCAATCATACATTTAAAATATGCCAAAACAAATACTTCTTTCTCATATGCAGGTACTGATGCTGAAGACACCATCCTAAATGCTTTTAAGCTTTTTGATGAAGATGCCAAAGGGTTCATACATAAAGATGAGTAAGTTGAAACAATAACACTATAACAACTACAATTATAACTCGCACTTTTAATTGTTATTGTACATGATATACCTTCCGCAAAAGAGACCATGTTTTAACATTTGAACATATTTTCACACTTCCTGTCTTTGTGTACACCCAGAGTGATTTTATCTATGCCAATGTGTCATGTACATTGTCCATTATGAGATCAATAAAGTTTATTTTATCTCATCTTATCTTAACATGTTTCGACTTCGGTCATCCCGCTCCCTATGGGCCAATGGCTCCTATGTGATTGTTATTATTGCATTTCCTGATTGAACTGAAATCAAAACTTTGTAAAGTCCTCAGAGACGACTGCTGCTGTAATTTAGGGACATACCAAAATAAATGTAATTGAATTGAATAAGATGTGCCCAATGTTACTCTGTTTGTTAAAGGCTGCAGAACCTTTTGATGACACAAGCGGACAAGTTTTCGCTGGAGGAGGTAAAGGAGGCAAGCCATTTTGTAATTTAATTTTAAAGTATATACTAAGAATGCTTGTTGAATTGCAGGTCACTCAAATGTTCCAATCGTCAAACATTGACCCTGCTGGCAACATGGACTACAAATCTCTGTGCTACATCATCACACATGGGGAGGAACAAGAAGAATAGAACAATGTCATGAACAAAACATTTTATTTATGAAAAAGTATCAATAAAATATAGAAACTGTATGGAAAACATTCATTGTGCTTTTCATTTGTGGTGTACAGTGGTATCTAGAGTTACAGGAGCATTCCTCAAATATCCCGGTGGTGACCCGTGTGAAGTGGTCCGATGCCTGCTCCTTGTAACAAATGTGTTATTGTTTTGCTTGTCGCTCAGTTTGGATTTTAAATCAATTATGGAGGATTTTAGTGCGTAAATAAATGTTTACAATCTCTCCACAGATTCATCCTGTACCTTAGACAAATTAAAGACTTTTATCTATTTTACGTTGATTTAAGAAAGTTCCCGCTGAGATTTTAGAATGTATTTTTAAGATAAGATATGCTTTATTAATCTCACAAAGGAGAAATTTACATTTCAGGTGAGTCTTGGCTCCAGAGAGTGAAAGGTAAAGCTGCACTTTATTGATCCCCGTAGGGCAATTCATCCTCTGCATTTGACCCATCCTGATGCCACTAAGGCTTACGTCAGGAGCAGTGGTCGCCGTAGTAACAGCGCCCGGGAACCCATCTCCAGATGTTGATGCTCTGCTTGGTCAGGACTACCGGAGCTGGAGGATTTAACCTAGTGGGAATGTTTTTAGTGGTAGGAGAAACCTACGCAAGGACCTTCTTGCTGAGAGGCAAGAGTGCTATCCACTCAGCCACCGTGCCAGATTGAGTGCAGCTATTGTACAAGCTTTTTAGTGGTAGGGGAAATCTGAGCAACCGGAGGACACCTACACAGACACACTGAGAACATGCAAACTACAGATCTTGTTTGTTCGATCCTGTTCGTTGGTGGAATCGAACCCGAGACCTAACTAAGAAGCAATGCTAACCACTCAGCCACCGTGCCAAGTGAAGTCAGCTTGGCACTTTTTCCAAACTGTATAAATATCCAGGCAAAAATATTTAGTTGTAAAGTAGACAGCCACCAGGACAGTTGAGGAATGCAAGGAGAGGAAATTAAATGAGTTCGATAGTTCAATCAATTGAGTCAATAAAATATAGTAAACACATGAGCTCTCCAAAATGAAGAAGTGAGATTCAAGTATCTATGCTCCAGTGATAACGACTACTGCCCTGTGTGTAAACGTGTGGTAAATCAAAAGTCATCTCAGTGTTTGTTATAGAGACATGCAGGCTGGTGCCTTGACATCACTGAACACAAAAAAGGATAAAGAGTAAGCGGGGAGGTGGACGTGCTCTGAGGGAGACAGAGACGCTCCTGTGAGAGCCGGGAGGGTTGTGTCATCCACCATCCTCAGCACCTCTCCATTTAGCATAACAGATCTACAAACAGAAAGAGGATACTGTATAAGAACAGTATTTACAAATGTCTTTAACCCTTTAATGTTCACTCCTTGAATAAAGCAATGTAATTATTTTTAGATTTTTCTACGATGCAGGAAATAATCTTCTTTATTTATTTATTCAGACGGCGATAGAACAATTTAAGTAAAGGCAACTTAATAAAAGAAAATTAGAAAAGTAGATAAAACAAACAGCCAACATTTACTGTATGATCTCGTCTGCCTAGAACGAGGCAACTAAGTCCGTCTGAAAAGGAGTGGGGGAAGTAAACACCTAAATAATTCCACCCCTTTCTACTGTACTTCAATTTTGTAACTCAATAGACTTCCTCCTAATAATTATTTTATCTCTAAATACAGTTTGTGTAAGCCCTCAGTCGTACAGGGATTAGTCAAAGCAAAGGAAGGTTTCTCACCCATCATCTGTACTTCTTAGCAAGTTTTCCTGACGTTTCGTCCTCAACCTGGGGACTTCTTCAGGGAATGGAGTCCCCTGAAGAAGTCCCCAGGTTGAGGACGAAACGTCGGGAAAACTTGCTAAGAAGTACAGATGATGGGTGAGAAACCTTCCTTTGCTATCTCTAAATACAAGTTATAAAACACAATGAATCTGGATCAAACACAAACATGGTAACTCATCTGTTACATACTTAAAGAACATTGTTTCTGACTATATATTATTAAACACTTTTCATTATAGGCCTCTACAGAATGGTTGACTAAATGGTTGGCTAAAACCAAGTGATAGAGATGGTCCAAATGAGGTCGATTTCAGCTCCAAGTAGATATCGTGACCATACATAGTGACCCAAAAGGTGATCCAGCGAACTAGACATGGAGAGGCAGCATTCCAGATTTATGCAGCTAAAATCTGGAACAATCTTCCTGAAGATGTGAGGCTGGCATCTACTCTGGAAGTTTTCAAATCCAGGTTAAAAACAGTTCTGTTTAGCTGTGCGTACAACTGAAGGATTTTATAACCCTAACCCTATTTTTAATGCATTTTGACTATTCATTATTTTAATCCTGTGTGTTTTTAATGTTTTAAGTTTTTTAATTACGAGTGATTTTATTCTGTTTTTAATATTTTTTTGTGTTTTTTTAAGTATATGTAGATTTGAATGTTGCTTGATATGATGTGGGTTGTGAGGCGCTTTGCGTTGCCTTGTGCAGGAAAGGCGCTATACAAATAAAAGTTGATTGAGGAAACCTTTAAAGGGTTAATACAATATTTTAAAGTGACGGTTTCATGGGGCGAGGAAGCTGCCAAGATATGTGCAAAATAAATAATGGTATTGAGGAGAGCACCTGGAGCAGAGTCCCTCCTCCCCACGCTGGTCTGACTCCAGGACAAAAGCCACCACTGTGCTGGAGGCCATGTGTGCCGGCACTGACACCCTCGCTGCCTTGTGATTCAGGTTCATCGCCATCAGTGTGACTGCTCCATTTGTGGAACTGGAGAAATTCAAATATGTTAAGGAACGCCACCTTTAAACCATCCTCAACATTCCATGAATAGAATACCGGTTTTTGCTTGTGCAGTGCAAATAAAGTCGCACTCTCTTATGCAAAAGTGTGTAGGAACCAAACGCTTTCACGAACAACACTTGCTGCCCGACCAGTCTCTTATAGAGGACAGACAGCCAGTAATCCTACAGCGGGGACACATCATTAAATACAGAAAAAAACCTGGTTATTTGCAAAATACAGAAAATAGAGTGTTACTGGTAAGGGGTCGAGGTTGTCATCAATAAGGTGGTAACTCCCAGAACCAATGAGCACCTGTCTCATGACGACATTCAAGCCCAGTTTAGCACCAAGGCCCAACTTATCAAGCCACCTGTAACAAAACAATAACAACACTAACTGATACACAGTTCCCAAAAGTTCTAAAAAAGCTGTGAAGTGCTAGTGAAACTTTTTGAAGACTCGCACGCACTTCCGAAGCCTCCTGATTGGTCACAATGAACTCAACCTTGAGGCTGGTCGTAGTTATGCTGTTTGACTATTTGAATATAAATACTTACTGTACATGATAGTACAGTGTCCCATGATCAGAAAAACACTGAAATTGCTGAACTATAACCACTACTTTTTTCAACGGACACTGCAGTCTGTTTAGCGGTGCGGCCTGGGAATGTATTCTTCTCAGTTTATGAACTTATTATTTTGACTCCATCGACTCCGTTTTTCCTTACCAATGGTGTGTTAATTGTCAAACACAATGAAAAATGTGTATTCCTAAGGGCCTTATTTTTCAGAACTGACTGTTCCTCAGGAAGTAAGAGCAGCTGATGAATGACAAGTCAGCGCTGACAAAGACTCACCATGCAGCCCAAAAACATGTTCCCACGGTTACTACATATATGCACCATAAAATATCTTCAATCTTCCCTACAGCCCGAATCCTGGATCTATTCTGTCCATCTGTGAGAGTGGATCAATCTCTCATTGTGGGTCTCCCTGAGGTTTCTCACTTTTTATCACAGGGTTTTAAAGTTGTTCCTTTCTGCAGAAAAGTCTAAGAAAAGTGATGATCCGGGACATTAATGGACATTTCTAACATTATGGACATTGGTCATCCCGCTCCCTATGGACCAATGGCTTCTATGTGTTTGTAATTATTTCATGTTCTGAGTTAGAACGGTTTGCATCTCTGTTCTGTTGTTGAGGACTCGATAACATTGTTAAAGTCCGTCAAGATTACTGCTGTTGTGATTAAGGGAAATACAAAGACGTAATCGAATGGAATATCATTAAGAACCTTTGCAGTAGAACATCAAGTGGATCAAATTAAATGATTAAATGATTAAATGATCATAAAGTACACATCATATGGACGTACATGAATCCTGCAACAAAAGTGTTGGAGAGTCCCAACGCTCCTCCTCCATATGCAGAACTCGTCTCTCCAAGCCATACTTTCTTCAGTGGAGATACCCCTTTCACTTTCTAAACCAAAAGTACATATTTAGTGATTGTAAAATGTGGTCCACTTCCTCAGAATGTCATGTTATTACCTGAAATACTTCATTAGTCTTTAAGGTCAGAGTGTCCAGAACTTCAGGGTCAAGAAAATCCTCCAAAGAAGTATCTCTCCCATTCACGTAATAACTATTGAAAAACAAATCTTGTTTTTATATGGGTTTTTTTTAAAGGAAAATAGCCATTTCAACTCACTGGTGCCATGTACAAGCGTCAATTGCCTCAGATCCACTTTGCAAAAATCTACAGATGAACAAAAAAGTAAAATCCTTAAACTGTGTAGCTCCATTCCACAGAGCTGCATTGTTTCACTCATGTGAATCCAGTTAGGTAAATACTTTGAATCAGTCAACACCCATCACATGTGACACCAAATGCAATTATGCAAACTGGAGTTGCAACATTTTTGATTGAACTGAATGACTACGTGGAATAAGCGGATGTTAAAGGAGCTTCATTTTGTAGTGTATGCCATTTGCTTGTGTACTGAAATTATGAATGTGCCTGGAATGTTTGGATTTGATTGAAGTACTCCAGATGTCCCTCAGCTGGAACACCCGGGATTCACCGGAAGACCTGGAGAAGTGTGCCTGGACATAAAAGTTTAATCTCTGCTCAGACTGCTACCTCCAGTGCCTGTCCATCATAATACAACTTTTTGTTGGCTGCTTTTCATCGATACTACTTCCCTTCCCTTTATGAACAAGCCTATTTCACAGATAACATACATAATGTGCATACCGTACATTGATAAACATTGAAACATGAACATCAAACTCACCCATCTAGTATGTCAATTCTATGGTCTCGGGGTTGGCCGACATCAGGACCATATAGTCTAGAATTATTATAGAATTTTGAATCTGCCATGATCTTTCTGAGGTGGACAAAATCCTCTCCCAGCTGGAAACCATCGACTCGAATGCCAGCTTTCTTCTCATAACTGTTTGGTTCTGTGAAAAGCCAAACACAGCTGTAAATACAGTATACATACAGTATGTGTCTCATGTTGGTGTTGGTAACATGCATTTTGTGAGTATTAGTATAATCAAGCATGTGAGAAGGATGTGATATAAGAAGCAGAGTGTGGTCTGGATGTTTGTGATGAGACTTACCATTGCCCAGCTCCCATGACATCTCGTACTGTCGGGATGCACAGTAGTGCATGAGTGCCTGTGCGTTGGAGCTGTTCCAGCGGTTGTCAGGCGTCCTCAGCAGAGCATTGAGCCCAAAAATCAGCTCCATCCCAGAGCAGTTTGTGAAAGAGTACAGCTGGTCTATTGTTGTCTCTACAACACATATTTCATTGAAACACATTTTCTTTACCATAACCAAATACAATATCTGTTTATTCTTATGAGATGGACCTGTAAACTTTACTCTTCTATACTTTTTCTGTAGATCCTCTCTTTTAAGAAGTATTTGCTGCTTGATCCATTCCTTCTTCAGCTTATCCTCAAACCAAGAGGGCAGTCCAGTGCCACACACACCTGCAGCTACAACAAAAGATACCTAAATGAAGATGTGAATATAGTTTTAGTTCTGCATGTTACAGGGATCCATCTACCTGGAGGCAAAGCTGAGCCCCGAACACCCTGAGGACTAAACACCATGAAGTCTTGTCTTGTTCCACCAAACCTCAGAAAGGCTGGAGTTAAGGCACTGGCCAGAGCTCTGACCTTAGAAGAGCTATGAGGCAACACATGAGTCCCAACAAAATCTGTTATGACTAAATCAATAAATAAAAATCTGTTATGACTTAATCGATACACAAAAGTTGTTATCCTCTTGCATTAGTGCGGAATGTTGATTAAATGAACTCAAACTGAGCAGATCCTTCACTGAAGCGCACACAATATCATCAATTATGTCGTTTCAGGCTTTTTTGCCAAGCGGCTTTAGAGCAAATGTATAATGAGACAAATATGAAAGCTGCTCAGGAAAGAGCGCACGGACACCGGAGGAACCTACCCCAAGAGGAAGAGAAACTTCTCCTCTGACGCCAGGCTGGCGTCTACGGTGAGAGACAGAAACCGGGGATCCACTTGTGACAAGACTCGGGATAAATCCACCATCATTTCCACATTCTGTGACTTGTTAGTGAAGTGTCTCTGTTTGATAAAGTTCAGATCTTCAGACGCACACAGAGCGAACGCACAAAAGAGCACAATGACAGTCTTCATGTTTGAGTCCAGCATCGGTCCGCACGGGTCTACACCGGTCCTCACTACACCACAGACGCAACAGAAGAGACACCCCAGGTAGCAAGGACACTCGGGCCAACTCTGGCTTAGCCACGTCAGTGTCGGCTGAGCTCCGACTCGGCGGAAACATTGTTATTTTTGAATGGGCCGAGGCAGACTTGCAATAGTAGCGCCAATCCCAGTGTTTATTGATCGGCCCGAGTGAGGTTTTATTGCCCCCTGCCGACGATGGCCTCAAACGCGGCTCACCTTAGTATTGCAGTTGATGGCCCGACTTAAACTGATGTGCCTCAGGCCAACTCCAATAAAACAGAGAATGGGCCAACACTGGCAATCAGTAATAGGTCCAATTGCTATTTTTTTAATTGGCCCGATTGTGGCATCATAGACTATAGGCCTACTCACTCACATGACGTGACATCCCTGTGGCACGCAGTGCACATCTTACAGAAACACAACTGGTCCAATTGTACTTCAATGCAATGCAATGCAATGTGAAGAGTCACAAGCAACAAAACGCTCCTTATTCTATGAAAATCCGCCGCATATTGACGTCAAACACCTGCTGTAAAGATGCAATACAGTGGACGCGTGTACGGCAGCGGTGAGCGGTGGCGCACAGCATGTGTAATTTCATTCTTTACTATTTATACAAAATAAATGTAAAAATATTTTTTAACACAACACAGGTTAAATGATCAGTTACACAGACTACACTCTTAAAACAGATGTGTTAAAAATAACACATGTTGTGTTATTCATTAACACATCTGTGTGTTTAGTTAGGGACAACACAACATGTAGTGATTTCAACACAACCACTGTGTTGGTTCAATTAACACAACAAATGTGTTAAATACACCAACACGGTAGCTGTGTTGAAATAAACACATGTTGTGTTGTCCCTAACTAAACACACAGATGTGTTAAAATAAATCAGCACAAAGATGTGTAAAAATTATCACATGTTGTGTTTTATTCCAGAAAAAAGATCTTTTAAAAAATGTATTCAAATATATTTATTATACAGAATTCTAAAAGACATTGAACTGAAGTGAGGTTTTTCACTTGTGTTAAACAATTCATACAAATAGTCAAAAAAATAATAATCATGAACTAAATGTCTGGAATTAATCTCAAGATACATGACAAACTCTTGTTTTGCTACAAAAAACCAATACGAAACAAGCATGAACACGTTTATACAAGTATTTTGTATCTTGGATTTAGATATAATTTTTCATCTGAAAATGTTAATAAGTCCAGTGGTCTGATGTCCCCTAGTTTCTTAAAGAGAAATCAATTCATATTCATGAGTTCATTCCACCATATACGAATATAAATGATCGTCAAAATAAGTTACCGTTAAGATTCTTATAAAAACAAATACTTCTTCCATTTCACACATTGGTGAAATTGTACACATGATTCCAAAGAGCGGTTCTCCTCTGTAATCAGACTTCAAAGCAACCACACAACCAACTCTAAATGTTTTACCAAAAACACAAACAGAATGAGCAACATGAATTGTACTACATGGACTAACATCACAGTCAATAGCTTTCCACTGATCAAGGAACAATTCATTTTTTTCTAAAGATGCAATTGTGATTGCATAGCTGTTTGGGACTTGGATTTTCTTTGTAATTGGGTCACTAAACTTCCAATTAAACATACTCTGAAGTTGAGTTTTATGAGCTAATGTTTTTGAAATATTTTTAAAATTGCATACAACATGGGCATGCTTTTTAAGGGGCCCATGCTTGCTTTCGGAACGCATGCACCAAAACCTTACAAGTGGGCCAAATTTAATAATCATTTGCCAATAATGAGTCATGAAGTGGTGCTTTGGTGTGAGCTGCCTGTCTGGGTAAAGACTTTTGAAAAGATGGTGGTGATCTATAACCAACTGCTTTAAAAACACTGCAAGTCCAGGGGTCACTACAGGTGCAAAAACTATGTTGCATATTTCTCTTAAGAGGATAAACAATTTCCAATGTTGATTATCTTCACTTACATGCTCTCCTATCAAAAAGGGCAGAAAAAGCAAGAGGCACCACATTTGACTGGCTGTTTGTTTTATGGGATTATCTGATGTCCTCAGATTAAGGATGACACTTGGTTTGTTTTTAGTGTTAGAATAGCCATAATCAAAGCTAACTATCTTGTCGTTAAGATGCTCTAATGTAAATAGTCTCTCTTCATAAATGAAATTATGTAACATCAGCTTTACTTCTAACGGACCCACACCTTCTAAAATATCATGCATTACATCAGGACATACGTTTTCAGTGATATGAAAGTACTCAAGTGAATTTAAACAAGAATCCTCTTTTATACCCGTCAGAGAAGGGTTCTTCAGGCTGACATGGTGTTTATAGTTTATCTTGTCACGGGTTTCTTGGTGATCATCATCAAAGACATGTTGGGCCCTTTGCTTGCAAGTTAAGCAAAAATGGCAAAACTTGTTGGCTGAGAAACTCTCCAAAAATCCTCCTAGTGAATGACAAGCAAGATTTATCTGCAGTCAAAAGGCAAATTGTTCCACGGAGATCAACATTCTGGCTGTCAATTTCAACCTGAATTCCATCCTTTAAGTATTTGTAAATCTTCCAAAAGAGGTTCTAATATTTTGGCAAAACCATAAGTCTCTCGGTCAATAGAATTAAAGAGAAGACACAGGTGAATATTTGATAAAGAGGAATTCATTTCTGCAGGAAGATTCCTCAAACAGAAATAAACAGCCCCCATTTTGTGAATTTTTGTCTTTGACCCCAAAGGATTGGTCGTTTCGACATCATCAAAATATAGCTGAATTTGCAAAGCATTAGGGTATTGCATGTACAATGGATGCTGAGCAAAATGTAGACCATCACAGTAATCCTGCATCTTTCCATCCTCACTTTTTGTGGAGTCTTTATAAAGTCTTTGCAGCTTTTCATTTCCAAATAAAAACTTCACAGTTTCAATAATAGATACATACTGACACGCCAACCTTGCTATATTAAGTTTTCAAAGAGACAAATTGTAAGAATTGACAGACACTTTCAAATCTAAACTTTTTCAGAGCAGTTTCCATCTCCATTTCAAATTCTCTTGTTACCATGTCCAATGATACATTTAGAGAACACAATTATTGGTTAAGAAGATGTAATGTTTACCAAGCACAGTAGGTCAATAAAGCGTGGATAGTGAGCGACAATTTCCTGCATTGTGGGAGACTCTGTGGAAATCCAAAGCCTCCGACTTGTGAATGTTTTATCCATGCCCATTTTGATTGTTGCAATGTTCTCAGGGATGGGCTTCATCCTTTTAATAGCAGATGTCCACTCCAGTGTAGCCTCTGCCTCCTGCTCTGCCATGTGAAGGGTAACTATGACATCAGGATCGGGTACACTACAACGAACTCTTTTCCGGTATCGCCGCTGATCTTCGTGAAGACTTCTGCGGAGGTTCCTCAGCCTCATTTCAATAAACCCACAATGGGAAACTGGGTCAAAGAAATGCTCCTAGACAATAAAAAAAAAAAGAACAGTTATACATGTGTATATATTATACACACACACACACACACACACACACACACACACGTGTGTAAATATACTCACAAATCCTTCATTTTTTTCCTGGTAGTTTATCTTTAGCGAGGGAAAGACTGTTACTATACTTCTAGCCAGAAGTATTTTGTCATCCTTTGAGGGATAGCTAAATAACAGACAAAAGTATGATTAACTGTATGATACATTTTAATATAGATACCATAACTGTAATCTTATCTTAAAACTCTGCATTAACAAAAGGTCTGACATATTCAATGATGTAAATTGCATTATAATAATCATGGCGTAAAAGAGTTTCTTTTTAAGAAACAAATGCAAAAAGTCAACAGTTCAAGGTCAAATGACTTAATTCTGTTAACTTTCATAATGCATGACTTAGTGAAATTGACAAATGTAGAAATTGCTTATTTGGTTTTTGTATTAGAATCAAAGGCATCATGTATTGGTTATGTTTGTGAACCAATTTATTGTCCATCAAAATTGTTATCGTGATAGGCCTAGTTACAGGTTCATTCCAACCAAGCAGAGCCACACCGGACTCCACCCATTTCCTCAAGACTTTCTTCTTACATGAGAATTGGAGGGGGTCTGGTGTGCCCCTGCTTGGTTGAAATGAAAGCCATCAGTCAGACTTTTGGACTGCAGTGTGTGTACAGGTGTAGATACGAGTATTTTGAAATACTTACAATCCCTTCTGTTCCACGAGATGGCTCACAGATACTTTAACAAGCAGTTTTCGTGACGTGATGGAAAGACTGCCTGATGATTCGAACTCCAAGAGGAGATTTGGGGCTTTTTCCTTCAACAGTTTTCTCAAACTATCATTGCCTGGCTGTGGTTCATTCTGCAAAAAAAACAATGAAATCCATGAATACAGGTGAATGCTGAAACATTTGAAAATCATGAAAAATGTAATTATGTGAAACTAATACATAAAAAGAAGGCAAAACATTTTTTTCTTCTTTTTTAAAGTCAGATGGAGGAGAATCGACAATGGAAAATGGACAAGGAGATCTCGAAATAGGAATTTACCTTTGCAACATAATTACAGAAAGATATCAGGACCAAGTCCAGAGTCAGGACAAAGATTGCATTTGTGGTTTTTACAAGCAAAATAATGCAAGTTAGAATAAAGGCATAAATAATTGGCACTAGTCACTTTACCATAAGTCCATAATATATATTACTTCACATTTTAAGTTGTGAAAAGAATGTACTTTGAAACACTATTAAAATTACTCAGGATTCATCATTCACTACAATATAATGTCCATCCATCCATCCATTTTCTTCCGCCTTTATCCGTTGCCGGGTCGCGGGGGCAGCAGTCTAAGCAGAGACGCCCAGACTTCCCTATCCACACACACCTCCTCAAGCTCGTCCGGGGGGACCCCTAGGCGTTCCCAGGCCAGCTGAGAGACATAGTCTCTCCAGCGTGTCCTGGGTCTTCCCCGGGGCCTCCTCCCGGTGGGACGTGCCCGGAACACCTCCCCAGGAAGGCGTCCAGGAGGCATCCTGAACAGATGCCCGAGCCACCTCAACTGGTTCCTCTCGACGTGGAGAAGCAGCGGCTCTACTCCGAGCTCCTCCCGTGTGACCGAGCTCCTCACCCTATCTCTAAGGGAGCGCCCAGCCACTCTGCGGAGGAAGCTCATTTTGACCGCTTGTATCCGCGATCTCGTTCTTTCGGTCATTACCCACAGCTCATGACCATAGGTGAGGGAGGGAACGAAGATTGACCGGTAAATTGAGAGCTTTGCCTTTCGGCTCAGCTCCCTCTTTACCACAACGGTCCGATACAGAGACCGCATCACTGCGCACGCTGCACCGATCCGCCTGTCAATCTCACGCTCCATCCTCCCCTCACTCGTGAACAAGACCCCGAGATACTTGAACTCCTCCACTTGAGGAAGGACCTCTCCACCCACCTGGAGAGGGCAAGGCACCTTTTTCCGGTCAAGCACCATGGCCTCGGATTTGGAGGTGCTGATTCTCATCCCAGCCGCTTCACACTCGGCTGCAAACCGTCCCAGTGCATGTTGCAGGTCCTGGTTCGTTGGAGCCAGCAGGACGACATCATCCGCAAAAAGTAGAGATGAAATCCTGTGGTTCCCGAACCGGACCCCCTCCGGCCCCTGGCTGCGCCTAGAGATTCTGTCAATATACAATATAATATACAATATACAATATAATGTAAAACATGTAAACAAATGACATACCTCTGACAGTCCAACTGTAGATGAAGCAATGGCTCCAATTGAAGTTGAACCCGAGGGCTGGTTCTTAGGAAGGAAAAACAGTAAACAGATAAAAGTTGAGGTTACAATAAGAAATAAAAAATATTACCAATAGTTGAACATTACAAACCTGATATTCCGAAGTGTATGATTTAAATGAAATTCTGTATTTGTCAAGGTTCTGGACAAGTACATTGACATCCGCATCAATAAATTCCTTAAAATCTTCACTGTATATTTGAACAGAATGAAAGTCGGCTTTGTCTGTTAAAAAGCTTGTGCTTTTATCAATCAGTTCTTTAATTGTGTTGAGATGGTAAACTCTTTTGGCAATCTCTTTGTCATCCAGCACAATAGTCACAAGAGATCTGGGATTCTCCTCCATCTGACAGGGAAAAAAAGAACAAAATAAAAAAAATATGTATATATTATTACCTGTCAAACTGCACACACCGCCAAATTAAGCATCTTTAAACAAATGCTAAATTATAATGTATGTATTATAGCTATTTAAATTACAGATCATGAAATTCATAAACACGGGTTATCTAAAATATTTTAAAAAGGCTCGTTAAAATTTACAAGACTAGTGGAAAATGTAAGCAATAATCAACTACGCGAGCAAGAATTAATTACCATAAGTATATCTTGTATGCAATAAAACGGCTCAGTTTACTCGTGCTTCCGCAGCAGCCCTCAAACTCAACGCTAGCCTCCTGCTTCCATGACAGGGTGAACACCGCACTCACCTCAAATATCACATATAAAGCCAGCATTGGCCATTTCACATTTACGGTCCTCTTATGAGCATTTCTAAACTGTGTGCCCGCACCATGAATCTATTGGATGCTTTGGGTTAGCACTACCACATCCGAGTGGCTAACCTGGAAAAACAGAGCTACGAAAGCGGGGGTCAACTTCGCGCAATTATTGATAAATGATCTGTCAGATCAGTTATCCCCACATATCTTGATCGATTACATCGTTAAGTGTTAACCACAGCTACTCACTTCGTCTGGTTAGGGTTAACTAACAAGTTAGACGAGAGCGATGTCAAGGCTAGCGTGGCTAGTAGCCCAATGAGCGCCAGATAGCCGACGCATTGCGCCACTTTAATGCCAGTTTCAGCCCACAAGGAACAAAGAATAGTCACGCTGGCATCTTGTATGATCCATTTAAACAAGCCCACCAATTAATATCAAATGTAGTAACGTTACGTTTAGCACAGACCGTTAGCACAAGCTCGCTCCTTAGCCACAATAGAAAGCTAACATAAAAACGAACAAGTGACTCCCACAAACCTCTTTTATCGTGTTAATCACTGCACGGCTCATATAGCAAAGCAGACAACACTGTAATGAGAATTAATACTTATTTATATTATAATAGTTTACCTTATTTTGTTGACGCGGGCAGCCCAGATCCATGGGCAGCCTCGCTCCGGTCCGGTTTTCAAAAGACAGATGAGTGAAATGGAGGCGGACTTTGCCGCTGCTCTGAACCTGATTGGCTGTTACTGTAGGTCAACACAGTGATGTGTAGCTCTTGTGACGGTTTTATGATTCGCATTTTTTACACAATTTTCAAATATTTTAACACAACATGTGTTAAAAACAGTAGTAACACATAACATGTGGTAATAATTAACACATCATTTCTTAGAGTGTAGGCAGTGTTAAATTAGTGCGTTAAATTTTAAAACACATATTTTCTAAGTTACGCAGATTCTTCTCCTACTGACGTTACCCATGACAAATTCGCGGTTATATCCATCGGTCATCGGCTCAACTACTTGCTGACCAACAGCCGCCGATTGATATTCGCGGTCAAAACGGCGACCGTCCCCGCAGTTCCGTTTTATCTTGTGTGCGCCGATTGTCATCTCCTCCGTGAAGACAGAAGGCGCGATTTATCTCCATCTCTTCAGCGGTCTCTGCAACTGTAGGTAGGTGACTCCACCAACTCTACTGTATATTTACTTTAAAGTTTATAGTTGTACTATAAACTGTTTTATAGTCATCCACTAAAGAGTTGTATTGGCATAGGTGCACGTTTAAAGCCACTTTTACATTACCATCTATCTTGGAATAGCCTAACGGCCCAAGTCGGGCATAGTTCTCTTACTATGCCAGTCATTTTATGTTAAGTGGTTTTACAATAGTTTATTTAAACATTCTGCTCAATATATTTTTTTACTAACGAGTGGGTTCCAAAAATACAACACTTTACCGGGTTGTTTATTTTCTGCGAAGTCATCCATTTCTGATAATTGAAGATTACCCCACTTATAGGCTATGGTGTCACAAAACAAATTGTTCATTTGGGCAGGAGTTATTTCACTTTTTTAGCTGGTTTACCTGAAGCTATAGTTTCAGATCAATAGTTTATCGTACTAGTTCTGGGGCGGCACGGTGGCTGAGTGGATAGCACTCTCGCCTCTCAGCAAGAAGGTCCTGGGAAAAATATGTCCAATAGTTCTGGCATGCGCCTCCTGTACTGGCGACCCCGCTCCCATCTCTGTGTGGAGTGAGAGACAAATGCCCAAAATTAACAATTGTAAACCGCTTTGAGACTCAGATCTGCAGTGAAAATGCGGTTACCATGGAAACAGCGGAGCGAGAGGTCGTTTTCTCTGATAAAGGGGGGATAAAGCCTCACTCGGGTCCTACAGACTCCAAACTTTCCAGTCTTGGACTTAACAATATTTTGAAGGTTTTTTCAGAGGGATTTTTTAATATCTAATTTCTAGCCTGATTTCTCCAGTTCGGCTTTTATAAAGCCGAACTGGAGAAAATTGCTTGGTTTAGACTTTTTATATAAATAAAAGATCTTCTTTACAATAAATCAAGTCATTTTCACAATCGTCTTGACTCCTGAATCAAAAACGAAAAAAGTTTGGTTACATTTGTATAAACCGTTTAATTGGCAGTTTATTGCCAATTCCTCTGTGTAATTCAAACAGTTAAGAATACTAACTTCTATTTCTTCTGTTCTTAGATTTACAACTTGAGGTACGGATACACATGGACAGGCACACAATACAAAGAGGGCCGTCAAAAAAGTAGGCTCTTTCTATGCTTCTTTTGACAATGAAGATCAATTTGTTAATGTTCCAGAGAAGAACAATAATTGCAATGAAATTGAGTTTGAGTGGGACAGTGACTCCCAGCAGGGCAGCGAGTCACAGGAGGACAGCGAGTCCAATGGGGGTGAAATGGGTAGTAACATACCCTTATGTGAGGCTTTGTGCGATTGGGCTGTGCAATTCAAGATTAGCCTAGTAGCTTTGAGTGCCCTCCTTAGCATCCTTCGATGTCATCATCCTTCATTGCCCCTTGATGCAAGAACTCTGCTGAAAACAGCCACCATATACAACATTAAAGAGCTTGCAGGTGGCTCCTACTATTATTTTGGCATATTACAAGCCTTTGGGAAAAGCTTAGAAAGAATGGCCTCCTGTTTCCCAGACAACCATGTGTTCAGTTTAAAAATTAAATATTGATGGCTTACCCCTGTTTCGAAGCTCGTCCACGCAGTTTTGGCCCATCCTTGGCCTTTTAGATGGTGTGACAAAGAAACCTGTGGTCATTGCACTTTTTTGTGGGAATTCAAAACCCAATTGTCTCACCGCATACCTAGAAGATATCATAACCGAGTTGCAACAACTGAGCAGAGGATTTGCCATGTGTGGCAAGCAGTGGATCATCAAACTGGGCTCTGTAATATGTGATGCTCCAGCCAGGGCTTTTATCAAAGGAATAAAAAGCCACACAGGCTACTCGGGGTGTGATAAGTGTGAGCAGAAGGGGGTTTATGTCAAACACAGGATGACATTTCCTGAGGTGAACTGTAGACGTCGCTCTGACGTAGCCTTTGAAGAGATGTGTGATGAGAACCACCATGTCACCAGCTCACCTTTAAGGTTCTAGGCATTGGAATGGTATCAGGGTTTCCACACGATTATATGCACCTTGTCTGTCTTGGAGTAATGCGCAGACTTTTGAATCTGTGGTTTTCTGGCCCTTTCTCCTGTCGCATGTCATACAATCAAATGGAGCGGATTTCACAGGATTTAATTGGTTTAAGACCTTTTATTCCCATGGATTTTGCACGCAAGCCCCGGAGTCTTGTAGACAGACTGAGGTGGAAAGCCACAGAGTTGCGACAGTTTTTGCTGTACACAGGGCCGGTGTGTCTTCATCGTCAGCTTCATCCTGCCATCTATGGCAACTTTATGTTATTGTCAGTAGCCATTTTCATTTTGGCCAGCCCCTCCCTTTGTTTCAAGCTTAACGATTTGGCTTCCCGTTTACTGGTGTCTTTTGTGCAACATTTCCAGGAGCTCTATGGGCCAGAATTTGTCACCTATAATGTCCATGGCCTTGTCCACTTGCCAGAGGATGTGGCAGTTCATGGCAATTTGGATGTCATATCTGGATTTCCTTTTGAGAACCATCTAGGCCAGATAAAAAAGTTGGTCCGGAGTCCATACCGTCCACTAGCCCAGATTGTTAGGAGGATATCAGAAATTGAGAACTGTTTAATTGAAAAAGATGCTTTACAGAAGAGCCAGTTGCTGAGGGAACACACCCGTGGACCGGTACCAAAAGCACACATGGAACCAAACCTTGCACAGTTTGAAGAAATCATCATAAGTGGCACCACGATTAAAACAAGTGAAAGTGATAATTGTGTGAAGATAGCAGACCGTATTGCTTTGGTCCAAAACATTTTTTTGTCTTTGGGCAAAGTATACATTGTTTTTAAAGAGTTTGAGGTGATGCAACCTTTTTATCAATATCCACTCAACTCAGAGCTGTTGGGTATACACTTGGTTAGCAAGTTGTCATCTCAACTGAAAGTGAGCGAGTTGCAAGGACACATTCAGAAATATGTCAGACTACCTTCCAACAAAAACTTTGTTGCAATTCCGTTGCTGCATTTTCTGTGAACTTCTTTTTTAGTTGGTCTCAGAGGCCATATTTTTTCTTTCTCTCGTCCTGGGTATTGACATTAAACTGCATCCGGCAGAGTGGTGAGGCTGTGCGTGGGGTTTGATCGATCCGGCTAGCCCCTAAAAAGTGCGCACAATAAGCTGTTGGTACTTCCTCTGTGACTGGCGAGTGGTCGGCGCCATAAAACCGACTGGGCCCCTCGGGTCGGGGATTGTTTGGCCTCTTAAACTTTCTGTAAATAGTTCAAGATAAATCAAGAAGATAATTCCTGTTGGTGTGTATAATCAAAATATATAATAAAATTGAATCCATGTGTGTACCTCCAGTTAAAAACAATCTGCCTTGAGATTTGCATCAACATCCAGTAAGTGCAGTCACAATGCAGTGCATACATTTTGGGGGAGTTAAATGGTTGTATCCAGTACAGTAAGAGACCGTGTGCGGCTGATGCTGTTTTGGATTGCTCGTCAACTGAGTCTTCCTCTCGATGGTGCAGTTTAGATTATTTATTGAAGAGGATGGATCAGGTACATGGAGATGATGATGGTTTGACACAGTGTGTGTGTAAATGTATAAGTATGTGTGTGCGGGTGCGTGTGTGGTTATCTGAAACAGAAAAACAATAAAATGTATATTAATAAACATGTAGGCAGGCTACAGTATGGTTACAAACAGATGTATAAACATGACCTGCAGTACCACCTACAATCCACTAGTGAGAGCTCTAAAACTACATGCGTAATGCTGTGTTCACACCGGGCGCCTCCGACGCCTCCAAAGCGTCAGGTTTACATTGAAAATACATTGAGGACGCGGGCCAACAACACCTTCTTTGCAATGTCTGAGCAAAAATTGGAATATCGATATTGAAAAATAAAATAGATATATTCATTGTTTTGGCAATATTACCCACTATTTTCAATGCAAATTGTAATTCAAGCAAAAATATATACAGTCAGACAACAAAACAATGGTTTGTAACTGTGTGATCACATGTCTTCGATCACACTGGCCTGTCCTCACCATATCTTTATCAGTCCTCATCAGCACACGTGAATTTACTCAGATAAGATCAGTGCTGCTGCTACAGTTTTTCTTACTTTAGGGTTAGGGTTAACAATATGGATGCTTATTTGTATTGCTTTTCATGGTCTTCCAAAAGCACTTCACACAGTGTAGGCCGGGATTTGTACTATCATAAAAGCTATAGCTTTATATAAAATAAAATAGAATGTACAGTTTGTTATTTGTCGAGTGTTTGACCCATTGTATTTTCTTTTGGGCAGAAATGTATTCCATTGTGGAATTTCTGGAGGCGAAGGAGGTGGAGTTGGTGCCATCAGTATGGGTCACCAATGGTCATTGTGCGTGGCCCTCGGGTTTGAGGGGCACGGCACTAAGCCTTGCAGTTCGTACTGCGACCCCTGTGGAGCCAACGTGGGAGCAGTACCGCGTGCGAGTACTATATACAACTGGTACATTCATCATCCTTTTTTCACTGTTCATGGTCAATTATAGTCACTGTCAGATAGATAAACAAACATCAGGCACTGTGACACAAGTTTATACCCCTTGGTGGTGAGTTTATAGCCACGTGTATAGGAGCTGTTTGTTTCCTCAGGGCCTGGACAACATGCTATCATCAATAGAAAAAATAATGAATAGGTTTATCAAGATATTTTGCAGAAAGACCTGAAACATTCACAACAGCATGGAATATGTTAGTGAATCCTTGTATTAAATAGCTGCTGATCCTTCTTTTTCAGCAATAAGTGCTTTCCTGTAGTTGCAGATTAGACGCTCACAACGATTAGGATGAATCTCCTCTTTACAAAACTGCTGCAGTTCAGAGAGATTCAAGCAGTGTACTTACTTATTCCTCCCTGTCCTGTGAATGTTTACATGTAAATGTTTGGGTGGTATTAGTTTTGTTGGAATAATACTTCAAAAAGTAATTCCTCTTTGCCTGTGTAAGCCAAATAAGTTAATGCAGTAGTATGTAGTGGGTGGAAAATATTTAGCTTTAGACATTTCCTCAGAGGACAGATTTGCTAGAGGTCAGGATGATATGAAGATAGGATCAAATACACTACACCCTTTACAGACCATCACTGACCAAAGACCATCTTTTTAATTTTAAATGCCCATTGTTACGTATCACCGAAGATTACATTTATATTGTAGACTTATTAGCACTCCTTCTCATGTTAGGAGTTTGCTTTCCTACTTTCTCCAAGTGAGTTTTACATCTCTAGCCTGTTGACTGCAAAACTGCTTATATTTTTTATTTATTTTTTGTAAAAAGAGAACTATGAAGAGGGCCGGAGGAAATTGAGGGAAGCCGAAATAACATCCGACCTCCAGTCAGATGTGGAGACTGAAAAGAACAAAAAACGTCGTCGCAAAGCAATGTAAATATCAAATTAAACTCTTCACTTTCTTGAATTTGAATTCTGATGGAGGAGGGGATCAATGTGACTCTGGGACAGAAACAATTTAGAAATAAACTTCAGAAAATTTACAAATAATGAATCTGTGAAATCTATCTATTTGCTCAAGTCCAAAAACAGTTCATATTGATTATTGTACTATTTGGACACATTTTGTGCTCTTGTGTCATGTGTCCAGATGGAGACACAAGACATTGAACTGTGTACCAGTTTTTTGTTCCGTGTGAACATGTTAGTCACCTAAAATTAGAATTTTTGAAACCTCAGCATTTTGACTACCAGGGAATTCGTACCCTCCATCTCAATTACACACTGAATGTTGGCCAAATTAACACAACCTATTGCATAAACATACTGATTTTTTTCTCAGGAAAAACCATCATTTTATATCATCTTCAGAGGATGAAGCGCCGATGTCCTCCATCCCTGCGGCCCAAGCCGTTCATTTTAATGCATGCCCCCCTCCTCCCTTTGTTAATTTTGACCCACCCGCCCCCAGTCAATCACCACCCCTCCCCCGAACATACACGGAGCTCACGGCAGGTGTGTACAGCTTCTCTCACTATCATGTTAAGTTCTCAGGTATATTAAATAAATAAATGCAAACTCTGTAAAAAACAATTTAGCACTGCCAGGATACCAGCATTACCACTGGTCTCCACAAGCTCCACAACCAGAACCAGGTAAGATTCACCTAACCCTATAGATCAACCACCTATTTGATTCCCACCTGAACGGGTCCTTTCTGTCGAGTTTGCATGTCTGCATAGGTTTCCTCCGGGTACCCCACCACTAAAAACATGTACAAAAGGTGAATCCTCCAGCCAGGTGTTTCTGACCATTAGCCTGGCTTGACACAAGTCCCCAAATGCGTTTGAAGGAGAGAAACAAACTCCACACAGAAAGGCCCACAAGGCCCGGAATACTTTATATATATATATATATATATATATATATATTATGTAATAAAACTCTGTATTTGCAGAAAGCTCTCATGGAAGCCACTCTGGTACGCTTTGTTACCACACTGAACAGACTACTACTAATCAGTTTTGTTTATTTGATTTTTATATTAATGAACTTTGTTCCAAACTTACTTTTACAGTAATTTTAAAGGAGGTCCTAACTAAATTAGAAATGGTGCTGCAGCAAAACGACACCATTCTCAGAATACTCCAGCACCAGGCTACTCCTCCAGGCTTGGAGGAAGCCATTGACCTGCCACTTGCAGACCTCCCGCAGCTGTTGGCAATGGAGGACAAGCTTGGCTCACCAGAGTTCCGCTGTTCACTGGTGAGCTTTTTATTTATTTGGTAATATTAAGCGCAAAATGAAGCACAAAAATAGGAGTGGCCGACCATGGGACAGTCATACTATTTCATCCCTCTTTGTCTAAAACATACATAATTGACTCTGGTCTCATTGGAAGTTTGCTTGTCTATCTGCATTTATTTGATAGATTTTGGATGTTTTGAAATACTCACTGCATGAAAGCATATTTTCGGTTAAATTTATGGTAGCCTTCAAATTCACCTGAATTTAGCAATTTACTATTTTACTTTTTTTGCAGACTAACTACCTAGGGACAATCGGGGGCACCAACGTCCAGGACACGACTTCCCGCATATTAAAAAAATTTGAGCCATTCACTGGCCCAGAAAATGAATTGGAGGGGGGTCAACGGCAAGACTGCCCTGGCCACCCTGCATTTGCGCAAGGTTGTCGTCGGTAAGTTTAATTGTCACTTGTGGTGATAGTTTTTTTTACTTTCCTACTGAGAGTTTTTGATTTGTGATAGTTTTTTGTTTTGTTTTTAAATCGGATTTTAAATAGTAAAACAGTAATTCATCCTAAATGTTTTTTTGTTTGTTTGTTTGTTTTTTCCTTTCAAGGTGCTGTGCGTAAAAACCCGATTATAGGGTTTACAACCGAGGCAGAGGTGGAGGACAAGATGAAAAGATGGCTCCAACTGAGTGCAGACAGGGAGGGGGGTAGAAAGAGAAGGCTGCTTGCTAAGGAGGGATTAGGGCTGTAAAAAATGTTTGAGTTTGTGAATAAGTTTTTTGTTACAATATTAATGTAAATAATGTAAATAGTTCTATCTATCTAAAATATGTTTTAGACCCCTACGTTAGTATTTTTTCATTGGGCAAATGAATAAATTTCATTATTTTCGCGCAAACTCATTATTTATTTATTTATTTGTGTAATTCTCTCTATATAGCTCTAATAGCTCCTTCGTAAATGCTTCTAAACTAATACTTGTTTTCCTCTTCATTTTTTAAATATCCCTTTTTATACAATACAAAAAGTGGAAGGTGATCACTAATATCATTTATCATTAATCCGTCTGTATCTCTTTCTATTTAATTTGAGAAAATGTTATCAATCAAGGTGGCACTATAATATATATAATAATCTGCAGATTATTGAAGTCTATTCTCTATTTGTTTGGAATCGGCAAGAACAATATTTATAGATATAGTGGAAATGTACTTTTTAACTGCACAAAGGTGTGAATATGGGGTTGGTGACACTGGGGTTTCAACATACTCTGGATATTCAAAGTGGAATCAAAAGTAAAAACTGCAAAAATATGATCTGATATTACCTGTCTCTTATCATGTGGCGCTTCATTTAATATTTTTTTAGTTTCACTGCATTGTTGATTTTTTTAAAATATGTCATTTTCAGGGGTGGGAAGTGCAGGGACAGGTTATTTCCCATAATTTGATAATGGCCCTTAAACTAAGCAGACATTCATCAGCCATCAGTTCAATAACTCCATTATATTTGTAAAACAAGGAGAAAGAAAGTTTTCCCCCATCATAGTCAGGTCTTGATCCCTCGCGGAGTTCTCATTGGAATCTGCTGCTGTGGTCTGCAGCGAGTGAGAGGCGAGCTTTAGAGTAGAATATCCAATCAGAGACAACCTAACACGTCAAAACGCGGCGCTATTGGCTGTCACAGTCTGCCGGGGAGACGAGTGCGAGAGGGGACACAATGACACAGACGCGGAGGATCCGCCGATCCGCGTCTGAAGAGGAAAATTAAGTTTGTGCAGCAGCTGAGTTGAATGCGGGACACCGCTCCAATTTGCGTGATGCAGGATTTGAGTTGGAAATGCTGTGCAGTCCCGCATAATGCGGGACATCTGGTCACGCGATGTACATGTTCCTTCACCTTAATTATTGCAACATTGTTCAATTGTTGGGATTTAAATAAATGTTTTTGAAACAGTGTTTTCAGCGCCTTTTTTAAAGTCTAACATGCGTGTTTAGGTTATTTACCCGACAGCCCAGCCGATTCTCAGCCGACATATAAATAAAGCCATTATGCTGTAGTTCAGCCGATACTGGGCCGTCATCTTTAATGAGAGTCACGTTACTGTAGTTCAGCCGATACTGGGCCGTCATCTTTAATGAGAGTCACGTTACTGTAGTTCAGCCGATACTGGGCCGTCATCTTTAATGAGAGTCACGTTACTGTAGTTCAGCCGATACTGGGCCGTCATCTTTAATGAGAGTCACGTTACTGTAGTTCAGCCGATACTGGGCCGTCATCTTTAATGAGAGTCACGTTACTGTAGTTCAGCCGATACTGGGCCGGTATATTCAGGGGGAGTCGCAAATATTGATTCAACCGATGACGGGCCGCCGGCCCAGCCAACTGTGGGCCGATTCGTGGGTGAGGTAATGGCCCGATGGTGGGCCAGAGAAACTTTGCTACCTGGGACTTCCTGAATGTTCAGGACTCCGACAGATGACTTCTCTGCACAGATCTATGATCACATCGCTCTTCTGGCGAAAGGCATTTATCATGTCTTAACTTCAACCACATTAGACTCTGATAAACACAGAGCTCGACACATAATCGAGATGTATTTTCTGTAGTGGTTCATTATTGTATTTTTACTCTTGCACCTTCTGTCCTCCAGGGTTCGCCATAATGCAGTCAGACCGAAAAGACCTGAACCAGCAACTTTCTGCTGTGAAAGGATAATATGTCAGAGCACCTACTATTCTCTTAATATTTAATAAACACATTTCTATTCTGCGAATGGATTTTCTACCCATAGTCTTTCTGTCATCTCAGAGAGTGAAAGAAAATATAATAAACTATAATTAACTTTGGTCTTATTAGATACGCTACACCAGCCCATGGACATGAAGATAGTAGTATGAACTTAAACATTATTTAATAATGGTACAAACAGACATTATTAAAAAAGGATAAATAATAAAAAATAATATTTTGCTTTTACAAAAAGTACAAGTTCTCATGTGTATGAACTATGTTGAGGTTTGGAAAGGCAAGTCTATGGGCAGCATGAGCAAGTCGTCTACTTCTTCCTGAAGTGCTGCTGCTTTTTCATTAAGAAGCATCTGGAAAAGAGAGACACATCATCTGAGACACAAACAATAATGTTAACAGACTAGAAACTGACATTATGACAATTAATGAAAATGTAATCAGCGGTGGATGAACACTCACTTTGGCAGAGGCCACCATCTGATCGGCCTGTCTCTTATAAAGGTTCTCAATAGACTTTGACAAAACCTTGGGGTCTGCGTTGGCAAGGTGATTCAGGGTCTTATAGCCAGCATTATACAGCTGCTTTGCTCTGGACTGAATTATGATAAAATAAGTGATAAGTGTGAAATACTGTAAGATTATTTAACACAATATAATAGGTATGACAGACCTCCATGACACCAGCCACCTCCATCAGAGGGATGAGCTCAGCTCGGACACAGTAGGTCAGTCGACGTGTCAGCTCTGACAATAGAGCTTTATAAGGCCAAAACTCCTCCAGTTCCTGCAAACAAACTATTTGATTATGAAAAATAGACAAATAATAGAAACAAAGGCAATGTGTGACTACAAATACCTCAGTAAAATGCAAAACACAGGAGCAAAACGCAGAAGCTGAACTCAACAGAGTTTGGATAAAACCTCGACTTATTTGAAACTTCTCGGCAACGCTCCACAAGTTTGTTTCTTTGAGTAATGAGAAAAGCATCATAGCGAGGTACATGCGAATAACCACCAGCATTTCAGTATTCTGAAATCAACATGTAGTTTAGTTTCATGGTTAAAGTATTAGTATTACAACGTTTTCATTACCTTTTTGACCGTTTGTCCCGCAGCTTTTCTCACAACAAAACTCTCTGGGACTCCAACAGCTGCAGACATCTTCTGCTCTGATGCAGATAACAAGGTAAACTGGAAAAGAGCAAAAACATGCTATATCTGTAGAATTGTGTGCGGGACTTCATGAGGATGGCAAAGCCGTACCTGTCTGAGGTAAACCATCCACTCAGGTTTACACTGGGAGATCAGCTCATACGGCGTGACCAAATACACCAGGTGGAGGTAACTGTTGAGCAGCAGACCCTCCAGGCCTTTAGACAGGTCACTGTACAGCGTTCCACTGTGGCTCACATCCACTGAGCCTGTGTGGGCACGAAACCACATACTCCATATGAACATTCAACAAGAGGTCGACAGGACATATACACATATGCAAGTTGAATTACATATTAAACACATTCTTATCAGGAAAAGCAAAGCACCACTTATTTTACTCTAAACAATGAACCCAAAACATACACAGTTGGTAAAATAAATGTATAAATAACCGTCTGAGGAAGTCAGCAACTTTACTATTGATCCAGTTCTGTTTCAATTCAAGCATAACTGAACTCAATTTGTTCAAGTTAATCTATTAAAAAACAATATTCAAACTAACCAAATTAATCAAATTAACAATCAACAAAGCTTCCACAAATAAAATGCTGGATGCCTTTGTGTTCAAGGTTTCCTCTATCAAACTTTTAACTAGAGTTTAAGAGAGAAGCTTTTTCCCACTAATATCCATGAAGGCTTTCTATTTAACCTCGAAAAATGTCCTAATGACTAATTAGCAGATTAGCATTAGCACCAACCCTGTCTATTTGCAGCCTTAATAAAAAGTATTTAAATACAGTAACCGTCTACGTCTCTCCGATAAACTGGATTTGTAATAAATACCTTTGTAAGTGGCTTTTCCGAGGCGAGTGACTGTCAGCGCTAGGTCCTGAGCGTCACCATCGACGGTAATGAGCCCTTTCTCTTTCAATACTTCAACACACTCCAGGGCCGAGTCCCAGAGGGATTTCTTTACGCACAGCTGTGTCTCTTGAACAGAAAGGAGTGTGCCTGACAGAAAGTCCTTCAGCTGCTCCAAGGACGTGGTGATCTGTGAAATATAGAGTGAGATGATGAGATTGAAGATGGTCTCGAGCCATTTGCCTTTCAAAAATAAGTTACGTTTAATCCAATGAGCGACAGGACGAGGCTAAGAATTCCCTTTCCCTCCTCGTACATCAGATTGCTGTAACAGTTCTCGACTGGGGCACAAACGAGCGACTTGGCCTGAAACGAAAGGAAAGGCAGGTTTATCTGTATGGCACAGATCATACACAGGGCAACTCAAAGTGCCAAACAAAACAAGACAGAAACAATCAACCAAGGCATAAATATTCACGGCACATTGACTCATTGACTGCCATTGACGTATTTGTCTGAGACTGGTGTTTTCTGTCAAACTTCCCTCTATTCGACTGGGGATTACAGGAGAACAAAACTAGCGAGAAACCAACATATTTTTGCTGATGAAAGTAGACAATCCAGTCTTTCAGAATCTGGTTTCATATTTCACATAGTCATAGCACATAATATTCCGGGGTTCTTGAGAATCAATACGTTGCTTTAAGTCTAATGCACTAGGGACTAAAAATCTGCACTGCTATTGCCAATGTTATTTTAATTCCCACATTTTATTCTATTGTACATAGTATATACTGAACACTTTTTTTTTTGCCTCTAACATGTTTGCACACTTCTGTCTTTTGCCCAAATCTGAGTGATTCTATCTATGCCAAAAGTGACATGTAAACCTCTCCTGTGTGAGATCAATAAAGTCTATCTTATCTTGAACATTGTCAGAGAAGAAGCCTGTCTCACATTAACAGAAAGACTGCTCCAGATTTAGCCGCATGAATCTGAAATGCAGCCTCCTCATGTTTAGTCTTGACTCTGGGCACGAGCAGGAGACCAGTCCCTGTGCTCCTCGAGAGTCTGAATTGGTTAATTTGGCACCAACATGTCACAGATGTACTTAGGGGCAGGGCCAGGGAGACACTTGCACCAAAGCCACAGGAAGACCTCAGAACTGGACTAATGTGATTGTACTTCCTGGTTCTCATCAGGACTCAGGCTGCATTTGAATCCACTTCATTCAAGCAGCAGTAAGATTTCTATAAGAAAGTAAAAGCCTGTGAAAGTACCATGTTCTTGTCCTTCTCCTGCAGAATAAGGATGCTCTCTCCCGCTGTGTCGATCCCCGCTCGCCCGGCTCGACCCACCATCTGTTTGTACTGGCTTCTCTTTAGAAACTGGGTGGCGACAAACGGTGAGCGCAGAATAACTCTAAACCAAAACAAAATAAATGAATTGAACAAGAGGCCTAAGCAAGTAACCTGAGGGGCGACTTGGGAGCAATTATTTAAACAATAGTTAGTTACACCTCTATAGTAAACTTCTTGTATTTTCCCCGTTTTTTTGGCAATCTGGGGAAAAGTACTCTTGCCTTTGGTTTTGATTCTTTATAAAAATGACAGTTAAAAATGACGGCTTGAAGACATGTATGTAAATTTACCTTGTCTTCAGCCTCTTCTGTCATTACTACCACATTATTGGTGTCTTGCCATTTTAATTCAGGTCATGATAAAAAACAAATCTACCAAAATTGAGATTGTGATCTTTCAATCCCTACATACCTCTTTAATATCAAGTATTTATCGATCCTGGCAGTTATGCGTACATCATATTAATTATTTTATATGTTTTGTGTGTCTAATACCCCATGGTAGGGTATTGTATAAATTACTGTATGTACCGCACAGTATTAAATTAGTATTCTGTATGTTGATAAATTGCATTTGGCATTCTGTGTATTGTGTTGAATGGTGAGAGGGGTTGGGAACAAATAATCTTCTGCTTCATCCAACCCCTTTTCAAACCTGTATTAGTGTAAAGATATGTGAAGTTGTGTTCTGCAGGTTTGAAATAAATCTATCTAACTCAACAATTTCAATATGAACAAAGAAGAGACACTTTAAAACCAAGCTCCATAACATTTCAAGTCAGATTTTTTTTTTGAGCTTTTAACTTGAAATGATTGAGAAACAAACCGGCGAGCTGGAAGGTTGACGCCCGCTGCCAGTGTGGAGGTGCAGGTCAGGAGGCAGAGGACCCCGGTCGAGTACGCCTCCTCCACCAGTTTCCGTTCTTCCGTTGTGAGGCCGCTGTGGTGATAGGCGATGCCAAAAGGAACGATCCTTTTAAGTACAGGACACATGTTTCCACTCCCACTATCTCGCAGCTCTCGGAGTAGTGTGGCCTTCTCTGCCTCTCGCTGTCGTAGAAAATTCCTTTAAAAAACCCATACTAAATCATCCACTGTAAAACACATTTAAATAAAGACCAGCCATTTCGACTCACTCCTTTAGATATTTGCAGATCATTGAAGCTACGTTTTCACAGTTCTTTTTGGTGGGACAGAAGACGAGGCATGAATGGGTTGGAATGACCTCTGTAACCAAGGCGATGATATGGTCAGGGTCCATTTTCTGCATGCCACTGGAGTACTGGAACAAATTAAACACATATACATTTTATCGTAATATAAATGTAACAGTTATGCCTGTGCTAAAAAACGGAAAACCGACAACCTTAAGTTTTTTCAATCTTGATTATTGACAGAAAAGAATAGTGCATTTTTCTCACAGGCTTACATGAATAATTTTATGAGGTTATCTTCCTACCTGTGCGCAAGTATATATCAAATTTGAATAAAAATAACAAAATAATCCTACAAAAATATTAAATCAAAAATGTAGATTGATCAGAAACATTTTGATTCTATTTTCACCCAGTTTGTCTAGTCTTAAGATGCACTAAAATATCTCCACTTTAGATGATTTACCTTATAATTAAGGGAACGAGAAAGCTTGAAACAATCCTCCTCCTTTGGATCCACTTCATAAATCGTGTCCTTCAGTTTGACATACTCCTTGAGCTGAACCTGAAATCATATTTAGAAAATTAAATGTCCTTGTAGTTTGATCTGTGGCTGTGCACTATAGTATGTGCGACCACAGGACTTTGGGAGATTGCATATTCACTCACGTACAGGCCTGAAGTCATTGCTATAATTTTCAGCATTCAGAAATGTCTGGACATCTTTAATGTTTCCCAGAGTGGCACTCATCCCAATAATATGAGTCGTTTCTGAAAATAAACAGTGATTATAGAAAAGGGTCATCACAAAAAGGAACAATGAAACTCGCAGCTCAAATCTTACTACTCATGAACAGGAGCTTGGCGAGAGTCATTTCAATGATTGCTCCTCTGGCCCCATCGCCCAACATGTGAAGCTGGAACAGAAGGATGAAAATGAACAGATGGACAATTGTTTACTTCAAAATGGAATATGTTGTTTTACCTCATCGACAACCACAAGTCCAAGGTTGTCGAGCCTGTTTGTTTCTATCAGAGAGTTGACCAGGCTGTGAGCTTTTTCAATGGTGGCTATGAATAAAGACTGGTGTGTTCTTCTTTTCACAGGTGGGAACCTTCCTTTGCTACCAGCGTACTCCTCTACCATGAAGTTTAACTCTAGCCCAAAGCTGGCAAGTCCACGCACCTAAGGAAGATGGACGATGTAAAGTAGACATATAATACTTAAGAATATCCTGGTGTCATTTCTACGTGGAATACCTTCTCCTGCACCAGTGAGACATATGGCAAAATAAAGAGACAATCTTTCCGTCGACAAAGAAGTTCTTTGAGAATCAAGATCTCAGCAACTAGTGTTTTCCCGCCACTAGTAGGCAAGGAATAAATCAGGTTCCTCCTTTGCTGAACACAATCCAGATTTAGACACGTCTCCTGCCAATCTGAAAAAAAGGTGAATGTGTCAATTTAATGTAAGCAGTTTTACTCCACTACAGAGCATTACCATAAAGACTCTTGATTCCTTTGTGTTTGTTTAAAAGGTCCTTGACTTTAGAGGGAAGCCCAAAGAAAGGTCCTAGATCAGTGGTTTGGGAAGATACGGTTTCCATGGCTTGGAGAGCAACACTTATCTCCTCAGAGACGACGGCCTCTTTCTGCCCCACACTGCGTGATACACTGACAGGAGCTGCTGCATTTGAGAGCATAGTCCTTTTCAGACGCTCACTCATGCTGTTCCTCACGTTTGGTTTGTTTGCTGGTTTGTTGTGTCCGTGCACAGCCTCATCTTGAGTGATTGTACATGCAGTCTTTTTGGAGAAGTCTTTAAGAGGAGTAGATGTTGCGTCAGTGGTTGGATTTACAAATTGCCGTTCAGTGCTTTTGAGAATTTCTTGAAATTCCATCTGCGAGGCTGGTAAATCTCCAAAAGGTCTCTCTTCCACAGCATTTAAAATTGAATCTGTGACAAAATCCTTGTCCGTTTGGTTTACTACCGTGGTTCTTAGAGAAGTGAAGACAGCACAATCTTCTCGTTTCCTTTCAGATGAGCACTCATTGTCCTGTTGTCTTTCCAGGGATTCCAACTTGGCCAAGATAGAGCTGTCCTCCAAAATGCTATCATACCCCCCAAAGAGGTCCTCATTGTCACTGCAGAACTGAAACAAGATATTGCAGCGATTAATTTAATTATAAGATTGCAGTGGTATTAGAAAGAAAAACACAAAACTTACTTCTGTAGGTTGCACATGCGCCATCTGAGTGTTATTTGGAAGGATTTCTTGGGAAGTACATTGTAAACTTCCCTTCTTTTTGGCAGGTGTCAAGGATGTTTTGAGTCTTTCTCTGGATCTCTTGCCATTAGACACCCTTTTTATTCTAATATTCTGTTTGACGTCCATGGCATATCTGCTAAAACGTCTCACTGTTCAACCTACGCTTTTAATCTAGGCAAGGCTTATCAGTTTTAAATCACACAAAAAGACGCTTACATGCAAAACAAAGTGTAAAACCCATATCATCACAGAAACTCCACAGTTCAACGTTTTCCACAAGAACAAACCCAAACAGCCGTTCACATGGAAATTTGAAAATGAGTCAAAATGACCGTAGTGTATCAAGACGTTCCATTCTACCATTTCCGGTTTCGTTCAATCATTTCCATTAAAAAATAAAGTCAGCAGTCGAAATTCACAAAACAAAGATAGGTAGAAACGATTATTTTGTCTGCTTAGTAGGGTTATTTTGTTCAAAACATGAACAATGACGCAGTACTTTTAAGATTTCGTAATACCACTTTTCTTGATACATTCATTGTCTTTGATGAAGGTCCGTGCCTAGGTCCTTTCCCGCAGAAACACTTTCGTTGTTCGTTGGTAATTGTTTCCTATTTTGTCTTCACAAAAACGTGAAAACTGTTATTCTTAATTGTGAAAGCATAATGTAATTTTTTTCTCTCCGTATCAGGGCACAATTGGTGTTATGTTAATTACACTGGAGCAACCATAGAATGAAAATATTAACCAGTCTGTGCAACACAAACCGTCGGACTGGATAGAAGCAAGGACCACTTCCGGCCGTGTAGCGCTGTCAGGTCGACATGTTTGCTGTGAAGGGTTTCTGGAGGATAAATCCTTTCTTTGAAGTACTTAGGAATTCAAGTACGTTCGATTTAGCCCTGTAATAATCATGTGGTGTTCGGTGAACTGTTGTGCATAACCTTTGCTGTTATCTTTAGTACTCGAGCTCATGTCATGTTACTTTGTATTGATACAGGTGTAAAGTGTATATCCACAACTTCTAATGTGATCCAGCAAAAGGATATGGTGAGCTTTTTGTTTAATTTGTTCCAAGACCCTTTGATCAAATGTAATTGTTTTGTTTGTCTATTCTAAGCTTGTGCAAATGGAGAACCCTTACAAGGAGCCACAGAAGGGATGCATCCTCTGCAGTGTTAATGTTGACTTCAAAAACATACAGGTGAACAGCATTGTGTCGGTTTGCATGGATTGCATGCACAGATGTTTAATACTATACCTTTTTCTCTTCAGCTGCTCTCACAGTTTATTTCACCTCACACGGGTAGAATTTATGGCCGTCACTTAACGGGTAAGTAGCAGGAGAAAGATTTTTGGGAAAATGACTTTCAAATGTGTTTTATTCTAACAGGTTTGTGTGGCAAGAAACAGAAAGAAGTCTCAAGAGCTATCAAGAAAGCACAAGCAATGGGTGGGTAATCCAGTCAACGGGTAATCCCATTTTTAAACTTTGAAACCCTTTTTATGCTTTTCTCCTCCCCTTCAGGCTACATGTCAGTGACGCACAAGCATCCGCAATTCATGCGAGACCCAAATATCTGCAACACTAAACACTGGGGCTAGTAAAAATAAATCATTTTATTTAGAAAAGTTACAGTGTCCAATAATTGTATTCTTTTGTGTTTTACCTATTTTATTGAATTTAAGGTTTTTTTACGTTTATGTTGATTGCCTGGCAAAAACATTTCTGTGGGCCTTTTTCGGGATAACCACTTTCTCTGAATCAGCTCTGTATTTTCTTCTGATGGTCTGTCTGGTTGATCTGCTAGAATTGTGTTGTCAGTCTGAACATTACAACAAAAGTCGAGTATTGGAAAAGCTTTTGAGGTTAAGGTCTGTGACAGGAACAAGGGCGAGCAGGCAAACAGAGCTCTGACAGCTTTGTGCAGCAACATGTTCCTCTTTGGCTCAAGAGGAGGATCTGACAAAGCGGAAAAGAATATGGTCCATCAAACATTTAGAACAAGCTACTTTCAAGGAAAATGTTTAGAAAGTTAAAATACCATTTTGAAGTCGGTTTTCTTTTCCTTCCATAACCTTTCTTCGGAGAGCTGAAACCTCTGCCTGAAGTTCTTCAAGCTGCTTCTCTGTGCTCTCAACTTTTTGGGACATGTTCTGTTCATCAAATACTATGTTATAAATGGCATCCAAGAAACAAATAAATGTGATATGGACTTACATATAACTCTGACTGCAGAGAATCATTCATACTGTTCATCTCCTCCACCTCATTTAGAAGTCCACTGGATGAAAAGAACTTTGACCTAAAGAGAAACAAAATCGTAGGACACAAGTATGAACAGGGAAAGTCTGGTTTGATCAGGTCAATTTCATGAAATTTCAACACCATATAGGAAATATTTAATCCCACTATAGGAAGCGGGATTATATAATAATAAAGTTCAATTGAAATAATAACAAAACAATAGCCCCAGGTCTGGTCAAATCCATTCTAACTAATTTAATGCAATTTTTATGACTGCATTTTGTTATAACCATTTAAACTTTTATGTTTAAATGTTTATATATATATATATATATATATTATATATTTGTTTTTAATTTTTTTTTACTCTCCATCCAAGCAATAGTGTTTACTGCCCATCTGTGAGCTCTGTTCTCTGGTAAGACCATCAAAACAAACATTGAAGCAACCACAACGGTTTTACTTTTACCATTTGTCTCAATATAGAGGGTGATAAGCCAAATGTAATGATATTCTATGTTACGCATGAACATCAAAACATGTATCAGAATGTTTCAACATTAGTTTGTCAAATTAATAATCTGACCATTTTAATTTCTGCAACAGTTAGGAGAGCGATGTGGCAGACGTTTCAGGATCTTGGCAAGACAAAGCCATTTTCATCAAGTTTGAAGCATTATAAGCCTTGAATTTACCTCTATGCAGCTCAATAATTATTTTATTATTCAGACACTGGGGCTGCCCTGATGAATGTGAACTCTTCAGTGCAACATACCTGTGTTTCTTCATAGTTTGATTGTAACCCACCGCTGAGCACAGAGCAGGTGCTTTGCAATAAGACACTGGCTCAAGCAAACCCAAATTATTAACCAACACTGGAACATGAATCACCTGCCTTAAGAGAAACAACAATCATAAACATAAACCACAAGCATTGACCTGATTGTGGACAGAAAACAATACCTGCAACGTAAGATGTACGCAGCATATTCTGTTTTGTGGGTGGATCCTGATGGGGTTAAGTAACTGGGCGTCAACAGTAGAAATATCATATGCGGATTGGACAAGGTATTCTTCAGGTTCTTGTGAATTGACTTTTCTCTTAGTGTCATTTGTTGGTCAGTGTTCCTTCTCTGCTTGTACCACCCAATCACACTTTCCTTTAAAAATAGATATGTTACATTAATTGCAGATGTTGGTGAGAGAAAAAATGTAGCGTTAGTATCTTACAGGCTTGCAATCCCCCAGAAGCCCTTTCAGTGCATCTAGATCAACATCTCCTGTGTTGTTGTAGAAACTTACACATATACACGTAGTTAATATTAATTACGATGCTCTTGTTGACCTGAACTTTAAATAAACTTACCTGTGAAGCCGTTTACATGGTATGTGCTTCTGGACATCTGCAAACACAAAAATGACGATGTTTAAAAGTGTTTGCACAAATTGACTTTATAATTTCAAACTCACTGTATATTTCCTCTATTTGAATTTGATCGGGCTGACTGTCATTTATGGTGACCTGTTCATCAAAAAGGTTTTCTCCAAGAATGAGACCTTCCTTCAGAAAGATAAAGACGAGAAAAATAAGTGTTTTAGTACGGTGCACTAACGCAACATTACAAACACACTTGAACTAGCTTCTTGATGACCCAAACAGACAATGAAAGGGACAATATAGTTTACATCATTATAGAGTTTTTACCACATCAGAATCGCTGTTTAGATGCTGAAACATTAACGAAGACAAAACTATCCCAGGCATACGGACAGTAGACTCTGCTCCTGCCGCCGCCATGTTTGTTTACTGGCCACGCGCGTGAGGTTAAATCAAGCTAGAGCGCGCATTGCTATGGTTACTGATAGGAAGTCACTTTACGAGTTGAGTTCCTTGCCTAAAATGATGTAGTTATAATATGTGGCAGCTCTGCATCCGTCAGACAGGCTGTTTTGACATTATAAATTTAATAGAACAGTTTAATCCTAGAATGTGTACTTTTCTGAATGTTCACAGTGACCACATGATATGAATATAATAAGCATTCTGTTTTCCTGTAATATGTCAATATCAATAATTTTGAACTTCCATTTGTTTATGTAAATGTATGTAGCATGTCACATATACATCTACAATATGGCCACCAATGTTGTCACGGCGTGCCTGGTCTCTCTAGCAATGAATTATAGGATCACAGTTGACAGACGCGTGTGCAACAGTCTAACAGACGTTTTTTCCTAGAAGCGCAGAAACATTTTTGTATTATCATGTATGTGCAGTAATCCAGAGATTGACTTTTTAACACAACACATTTTCGTTTAATTGCTTTTGGATTGGTCGTGAAAGAAGAGTAGCCTCCTACGATCTAACGGTATAGCTGTTAGTTCCGTTATCTGAGATTATAACAAAGACAGAGTCTTGCGGTTCGAGTCTCGTGAACAGAAGAGATGACTTGAGGCAGAACCACTTGGACCAGGCTGCAGTACATGATGGAGGACCTGTGGAGTCTGGCTCTTGGACTTTTACAGCTGTGGATGTTTGTGGTGGTTTTCCTGATCATGCTTCCAGCCATGTTTGGACTGTCACTGGGAGTAACTGGAGTCTACATTCAAGTTTTGGTTGAAATTCTGGAGGTATTATATGAAGTTATTGATATGTGTCGCTGTTGTTACACAGTACTTATGTGTGTCCGTTCACAGTGGGCCACAATCCGAATTCAGAGAGGGCGTGAGGAGCTGCCCAGCGTGCCTGTCCCTCTTCCTAATGGTAAGTTTTAAGAGCACGTGTTTACAAGAGTATTCATTTAGTAGAATCACCCAAACTTTTATTTTCCTTTCCTGAAAATTCTAATCAGTTTTCAGGAATAAGACAGCTGACTGTGACTGGCACGGGAAAGAGCCAGGAGCCTTTCTGTATAAAGGATTTGTCTTAGCACCAGAGGGATCATGTGACATGTGGGAGTGTGGGGCTGTTCTAGTTTCTTGTTAGACTACTGGATACCATGGAACACTCCCAAAACATGCTTCAGAATGATGATGTAACGTCATGTTACACAACATTTACCCAATGGATGTGTGGTCAGCCCAAATGACTAGCATGGTCAGCACATGCTTCTCACACTTCTCATGGGGTCAAGATCCTCATGATTAGACCTTGGCAAATGGTCTGGTATAACATTTTAAATGATTATCTTAATCAACATACATTTTGGGCCTAAAGCTGTGCCACTGGACCTCAACATTACTAACAATTATTTATTTATAATCATAATCTAAATTATAATTTTATCTGCACTTGTGAACTGGTCACCCCCAGCGTACAGCCTCAGACCTCACTCTAAAGCCTGAGCTGATTCCTGGATCTATAGCCTGTCTGTCCGTGAGAGCAGATCCCTCTCTCAATGTGGGCCTCCCACAAGGTTTCTCACTTTTTTCCCACTGGTTTATTCATAGTTGTTCTTTGCCGATGCAGGAGTGTCTGAGGACAGTGATGATACAGGACATTTATGGACATTGGTCATCCCACTCCATAAGGATCAATGGCTCTCATATGTTTGTTATTGTTGTATTTGATTCTCTGGTCTATTGTTGAGGAATGGACAACTTTGTAAAGTCATTCGCAACGACTGCCATTGTGATTTAGGGCTATAAAAATATATATATAATTGATGAATGTGGATTTATTGCATTTTTTTTATATTCTAGTTATACACAGATTGATATCAACTACTAACGTCCTGAGCCCCAAAGCATTTTGCTGATGTTTGACTATTGTCTTGCAGGTATAATCAAACGAGAAGGTGGCTCCATGAAGGAGGAGCTATGCGAGTTACGCCATTCTCCCCCCATTGAGGGAGGTGAATTTGCCCTCAGTGATGCCCTATACTTCTTTAAGAGCGGACTAGAAAGCATTGTGGACGATCAGGTGACCCAGAGGTTTTCCTCAGAGGAGCTTGCGTCCTGGAACCTGCTCACACGCACCAACCTGAACTTTCGCTACATCAGCCTCCGCCTCTCCATCATCTGGGTGCTAGGGGTGTTTGTGCGCTACTGCATACTGTTCCCTCTGAGGTCTGTACCAGTAATGAGTTTCCTTTTACCTTGGAGCACATTACCATTTGTGTCAACAAATCACGTCAGTTACCAAGAAAGTAAAGTTCACCTGCTGTTTTCTTCAGAATAACTCTGGCACTCATTGGTCTGTCATGGCTTGTCGTTGGTTTGACCATAATTGGCTTATTACCAGAATCGAGGTAATCAGCGTCACAAATTACCCCAATTATTTTTAAATACTATTGTTTTAACCCAATTGTGATCCATTGCAGTCTGAGAAGTTGGCTGAGTGAACTGGTCCATCTGACATGTTATAGGATTTGTGCCCGGGCATTGTCAGCCACTATACATTATCACAACAAGTCAGTTTCACCTTCACATACAATCATTGCTGGACTATAAAGCCACTACTAAGTTCTGTACACCCTGCAACCATTTATATGGATTTTTGTATATTTATATTGTTAGAGCAGGGGTTTGGGGTCTAAAAGGGGATTTGGACAAAGCTGATTGTCTGTTGATCTCCAGAGCTGACGAAGTTTTGCATATTCCTGCTTCCCGGAGTGTTTATGTGAACAGCTGAGAGACACAAGGAAGTGTAAAGGGGTACACAGAAGTGTTTTTTTAATGCGATTAGGGCTATTGTCACAGCAAAGTAGGAATGTTTTTGTCAAAATAGATTGGATTTACCAGAGAGCTTTGATCATTATGAGTCAACAATCGTTTTCCGCCATCAGCTGTTGGTTAAGTTACTCTAAAGTCAAGTGCGGCCTATATGTGCACAAAAAATACTATCTTTTCAAATTTAGCTTCTACGGTTTATATACAGGTGCGCTTAATAGTCCAGCAAGTACTGTAGAAGTATCTGTAAATGATTTTCCTCTAAGTGGTCTATGTAATAATTTTTCCTCACATGTATTTTGACAGACAGAACAAGCCACAAAGAGGAGGCATATGTGTGGCCAATCACACTACTCCCATTGATATTGTCATTCTGGCCAATGATGGCTGCTATGCAATGGTGAGTTACATCAATAATATCATTCACAGTTGAGGCCTGATGGTCTCTGTGTAACACTTTGTTCTGTGGATGATGTCCAGGTGGGCCAGATACACGGGGGGCTACTGGGGATCATTCAGAGGGCCATGGTGAGGTCCTGCCCCCACGTCTGGTTTGAGAGGTCTGAGATGAGGGACCGCCACGCAGTGACCAGTAGGTGAGGCAACCCAGTCACATCAAAACAACTAAACCAAAAATATCTAGAGAGCGTTGTGGGAAATGATGTTATTTTTAATTTGACACAATAGGCCCACTCAAGATGAAGGGCCAACCTTTTTGTTTCATAAAGGCAAAGTTACGTTGTGTGAACAAATCAGAAAATTCAGTTTTTATCTTTTACATACTCAGAGCTGATTGGCTGAGTGAGGGTTGGTCCTCCTTTTGTCTGAAAAAGAGATAATAATAATAATATATGTGACAGAGACCAAAAATACATGTGTGTGAAAACTAGTGATAGAACCGTACAGTTTTTAGGAACAAGGAATGTGTGACATGGTTTTTATGACAGTTAATTTGTTGTGGTTCCAAAGTTTAAAATAAAGTGCTTCTTTACTTTACAGGTTAAAAGCGCACGTTGCAGCAAAGACAAAGCTTCCCATTCTAATATTTCCTGAAGGTCTGTTAGAAATTGCTTGGGTTTGTTCAGTGATATTGTAATGGTCATTGGTCATTTTTGCCATTTTTATTTTAAAGGAACATGCGTCAATAATACTTCAGTCATGATGTTTAAAAAAGGAAGCTTTGAGATTGGAGGAACAATATATCCAGTTGCAATAAAGGTAAAGAGATTATTTATTATTTATGACATAATAAAACGCGATAATAAACACTGTATACACTTTGATTTTGTGTCAGTACGACCCTCGCTTCGGGGATGCCTTCTGGAACAGCAGCAAGTTCAACATGCTCAGCTACCTCCTGCGGACCATGACGAGCTGGGCAATAGTGGTCAATGTGTGGTACCTCCCCCCAATGACCATAGAGGTAGGACACTGTAAAGGAACAATACTTTACCAATGCTCAGGTTGAAGTCGTAGAGACCATAGACTGTATGAATGGACGAGGCTAACCCGCTAGCTCTATGAAGGAAAAGGCTCATGGGCAAAGTTTGGCTCCTACTCACTTACATTGAAAAGTAAACTCCTCCCACTCTGTAATCGTTTGTGTCACACTCACCACTCACCATTTTGGACTTAACGTAACATTTTATCGATAGAATAAGTAGACTTAGACTTACGACTGTTGTGGTGGAAAATCTAGTTTTTTCATATATTAATGAGAGCCCTGTAATGTTGTAAGCGATAGAGGACTACTATCAATAACATCAGAATTTAAAGGGAGACTATGTAAGAAAAATGTAGGGACAAGTTTGTGGGAGGTCAGGTCGCTGTATAGAAAGTGTTCTAGAGATTCTGCTGGTGTAAAGTTTGTTCAGAAAGGCACTAAAACCACACCAACTCAATGTTTTCTTTTAAATCCACATAATGGCCGCACTTGAATATAAGTCAGTTAATCAAAAACTGAGCAAAACAAATACCATGGACGACTTTAACTGCTTTGGTTACATACAGCATGCTGCAGAGATCAAAACTTGAAAAATAAAAGTTGCAGCTCATAGTCCAGTAAGCACTTCACTTTCTTACTTTGGCACCTAAAGAGTTTGTACAATTTACCAACAATTTGCAGCGTAGAGTAGGAAAAGTAACACGTTATAAAACCGAAATGAGAGGACAATATTTTTGTTCCTTTGGGAAGCACGGTGGCTGAGTGGATAGCACTCTTGCTTCTCAGCAAGAAGGTCCTGGGTTTGAATCCCGGTGGGAAGAGGGCCTTTCTGAGTGGAGTTTGCATGTTCTCCCCGTGTCTGTGTAGGTTTCCTCCGGGTACTCCGGTTTCCCCTACCACTAAAAACATGTAAAATAGGTCTGGCATGCACCTCCTGTACTGGCGACCCCGCTCCCATCGCTGTGTGGAGTGATAGACAAATGCCCACAATAAATAACAATTGTGAAACCGCTTTGTGACTCTGGTCTGTCAAAGGTGGTTTATAAATAAAGATAACTTACTTACTTACTTCCTGCTGTTTGGGTAAAATAATAATCATTATCATCATCACGGTTAAATTGTAACTTATCCGGATGCGCTGCTGATTTGTGCTCTCACTTTGTACGGTATAGTGTTGAAACCTCTCATAATTCATGTGTTGTGTTGTGGTCAGGAAGGGGAGGATGCCACCAGCTTTGCAAACAGAGTGAAATCTGCCATCGCCAGTCAAGGAGGGCTGCTTGACCTGGCTTGGTGAGGACCCCAACTCAAAACACCACAACCATGAGTCAACGTCACGTTAATCTGAGCATTTTCTGTGACAGGGACGGAGGCCTGAAACGAGGAAAAGTCAAGGACAGTTTCAAAGAGGAGCAGCAGAAAATGTACAGCAGTATTATCGTGGGGAAAAACTGAGCCTGTGTGACGGGTTTCACTTCATAAACAATGAATCACGTTATGTTGTTTGTCGTGATGAACTACAGAAGCCCTGAAGTGCCTTTTTATGAACGTCCTCTATTGTCTTAGCATCAAACGTCTGTATAATTAAGTGGAAGTGTATTTTGGCGGTCGTCCGTTTGTCAATAGAACACTTCATCCTCTTTGAATGAATGCTTTGTGATGATGCAGCTGTGACTAATGGTGGCCTTTGAGAAGATTTTCAAATTGTATTATGAAATATACGTTCTCTCTTTTTTTCATTGTGTTGTACTTTTTTCAAGCGTGTAATTGTAGGGTAAAAAAAAAAATGGTTGCAGTACATGAATTGAAGTTCTTTAGATGCACCACTGGGGGGCAGTGTTTGCGCACATTTTAATGGATCTCGACCATGGATCACCACGTTTCACCACTTTTCCCCGTTCAGTAAATATTTTAGCTTTGTGCTGTTACAATTTCGCAGTAATTTTGAGACTTGAAGACAAAATAATATCCCTCTATTATATTATAACAATTTACATTTTTTTACCAACGCTCGACTAATTCTTTGGTTACTGTACAAAGCAAACATTATGTCTATCTCTAGTTGAGAATTCTGCGGATCTCAACACTAGATCTCTAACTTATTTCTACACGTGTTTAATATGACTGATCAGGATCATAACGCGGCTTTAAAAAGGCGAGTGGATAAAAATACTCTTTACAATTAATTAGTGGGTTTCCAATTGAGAGAAAAAAATGACAAAGTTTATTATTATTAGCTTCTTATTCATAATAATATTGCATCCATGGATTTGTATTTCATTTTATAGAAAGGCAAAACATGCAGTGACATAAGCAGCATTCACAAAAAGTGCCGTTTCCCAAAGCCAGAGTGCGTGTCACATTTTTATACAACTGATTTTGTTAACATTTGTTATATTAAATGTTTGGTAAATATTCCAGTTTAAAGTCTAAGATAACACGCTATTAACTAAAATGACTGAGATTAGTCCTGAGAATGATTATAGGCTCTGTATATTGTTTGACCAAAACCACATTTGAAGAGTATTGTTTTGGAATAATCAGAAAAAACCTTTGCAAACAGAAAAATCAAATAATAATGATCTGCGTCTATGACAACATTGACATTAACAGTCTCCTATATCTGGAGTTAATTCCCTGCAACTTGAGTAGTGCTGAAACTTTTCATTCTGCTGTGTGAATATGCCTTGAAAATTTCAGAATTATATATAAATAAAAAAATGACAACCAAGCGCCTCTTCATAACCATGTTTACGACGGGTTTTACACTTATGCACCTCATGTTTAACGCTGCTCTGATACTGTTTATTGGACCATTGCATTTTTTTGGAAACATGTTCTAATGGCACATATGATTGCTGCTGTTGAAGGGCACTTTTTGTCCTTGTAAACAATGATCCCTCGCTTGTCCTTTTAATAGGAGGCAGAGAGAAAGCCAGCGCATGTGGATAAAAGCAGGTCCTCAGTTAAAGCCGTGCACAGTGCAACATGTTTACTGTGACGCTCCATAATAAAGAAAGCAGACAGTGTGAAATAGCATTGAGTTATTCTTCCACACACAACAGGCTTACATCTCACAGGCTTTCTGTCTCTCGCTGTGAAACCATCTTCAGGCAACCAGCTATTATAACAATCCTCCAACTTAAATTGCTTGAACAGAAATGTTTGTTCTCCCCTAACAAGATTGTCAATTATTAATAGGATCTAAAGTCGATTCTATAACTCAATTGTTGAGGTGGGATTCTTGGCGAGAGATGCTGGGCCACACCATTTACCGTGATGTATGTGTCTGCACATCTCTATATCCAATTTAATGTGATACGGATAGATTTCAAAGGAACATCATAAAAGGCATTGAAGTGACCCTGGCCTGGTCACTCACGACAAGTCCACGCACTATATCTTAATATGTTTATTTAATTTGCTCTCTTTACTTTTAGTGCAGAGTAATCTATACAAATGTGAAGCAGGTAGAGCAAAGTTAATATGAATTTGCCTTTAAATTAAATCACTCGTTGTGCAGAATGTAGTCTTGTATTAGAAATGGTAGCTCTGCTGGGAACTGAGCAGTTTGACCACTCACAAGGGTAAATGACTGGGGCTTCTTTTTTTCCAGACTTGCCATTAGTTGGAGGGTAATGTCTCTAAAATGCATTGTTCAGACATCTATTTGGACCACTGCTGTAATGTATGTGATGCTGAGGCGATACAATGCAGCTCCAACAGAAAATCAATACGGAGAGAGCTGTGGCCCAGGCTGAATCCCACTGTCTATACTCTGTCACAGACATTCATTTCTGTCTGATTTCATGTGGACGGTCACACAACAATGTCTGGTATTTGTGTAGATTGTATAAAGCATAGCCAGACATGTATGCACTAATAAACAGCCCATACATTATTTGTTTTGAAGTGAAATTGCAGTATACAGGTGAAAAAGGTGAAAAAAAAAAACATTTATTTCTGTAAAACAATCTAAAATGTGAAACCAATCCATGGTATCAACCAATTAAAAGCTTACTGACACATGTGCAATCCTTTTTTGTAATATTTTTGATTATTACAGTCCATTTTCCAAGTATTTTATTTCCTGAGATGTTTTATTTGGGTTTTTTACAAGCTGTGGACCATAAACTTCAACATTATTACAAATAAAGGCTTGAAATATCTCACTCTGTCTCATAAATTAGTTTCACATTGTACGTTGAATTGCAAAAGTAAATTTAGACAAATGCAATCACCTTGGAATTGAAGAGGACCTACTTCATCCAGCCCCTTTTCAAAACATGGAGATAGATCTGTGTATGTCATTATGTGCAATAGTATTTGTCCAGGTTTTGGTATAAACATTGATTGATTGACTGATTGATTGATTGATAATCTAACGGCCTGTTTTAGAGCTTTGCACTGACGCCATAGGTGTGGGTGAACTCGAGCTGTGGCCAGAAGGGGGAAATCTGAGACCAGGCCTCCTGCAGCATCACACTCATTTGCATACTCTAATGAAACAGGCTATAATTGGACGCAATTGATTTTTTTTGCAGCTTTGATTGAGCTACAATTGAGTCTGAAGTTCCTCAAGTGGAGCACTGATTGATTTGTGGTTAAATTCCAGTTTATTTAGGTTAGAAAATAATCATGAAGTTGTGTTATAATTGGACGGACAGGAGCAGTGCACACCTCCTCCGTCCAATCACTTGCTTTTCTACAGCAAGAAATAATTTGTGGCGTCCAGTACAATATGTCCAAATGACCAAACAATTCATTGCTATAGTGGAGTGAGATGAAAAATGTCCTCAGATGGGGTACATGAAGGTGTGAAATTGCAGACTACCTTTGGCTCTGAGCCGTGTGCCTCAAATGATATTTCTTTCTTTATTGACACAGTCGCGGCTTTCACCTTGATGCCGTGCTGGTGGTACGAATCTTCCTCCAGCCTTGATTGCTTTTGTTTCCAGGTCACCTCCTATCTATGGCTGCAACTTTTTCAATTTCTCCGGGGCTCGTCGTATGAAGCCTGGAAATGTTTTAGAAGAAAAAAAAGACATAAAAACACACACACACGTTCAGATCCGCTCAGAGTCATGCTTATAGATAGAAGGCAGAACACAAATGCTGTCAGCGCCGATAGAGAGGCAGCCCCCAACACAAGTTCATCAAAGGAATAATCAAATCAATGTCTCGGTTCATTAATATAAAATTATCCCGCCTGGAAGATTAATTGCATTAAACTTATGAGAGTGTGTTTTGTTTGAATTGGAGCTGGGGAAATGATCGATGATGAGAGAGCTGTGATGAATGGAGGACGCGGCGGAACTAAATTGAAAGTGTACTCATCCGTTCTGCGCTCACAACTAATGACAAATTGAGCATGTCACGTCCAACAATACATGTGCCGGTTTATCATCGCCACACACAGCCCTAATGCTGACTCTGACGTGTATTGTTCTGATGCTACTTTGTCAAATACATATGTCGGGCCCCATGGCATCGGAATAGCCTTTACCTTTCCCTTGTACTACACAATTGTTTGAGAAATGTTTGTGAGACATGTTGTGGTGCTTGAAATGCTGTGTGTTACTACTGTATCCGGAGCGTCCTATCAGTGATATGTATATAATAATGTGCTGTACTTTTATTTTAATTAATATTTTTCCCTCGTCTGTATAGATTAATCACTGTCAAAGTTGGAATTTTGTGTGTTTTTTGCTTGATGAGTTAGAATTATTTTTCATTTGACATTTATTTTCATGTCTCTTTGTAAAAATAGCTATATATGTAGTATGTACTATTATCATTATTATTATCAGGCAAGTTTAATTGTATAGCACAGTTCATACTCAAGGCAACTCAAAGTGTTAGAAACAACAAGGTATTAAAATCATAAATAATCACTGTACATTAAAAAGTGTGATAAAATACTTCAGTTGTATCATTATCATTATTTTTATTATTATTATTATTATTGTTATTATTATTATTCAATCTTAAACTTGAGGGCATTTTAAGTCCTTCCCAGTGTTGGATGTAACTCAATAGTGTCCCATAAAATAAAATTTAGAATTATTTATATTGCCATAGTAACTAACAGGAAGTCACAAACTAGTAATTTGGTTCAGGGTGCAAGCAAGTTATAAAGAAGTTTAAAAAAGAAAAATAGATAAAAAAAAAAAATGATACTGTAAAATATCATATAGTTACAACCAAAGTTACAGTACAAAGTAAAATATTTGCATGTTTAATTATTTATTTGCACATTTTTCCTGATTCTCTACTGTTTATAATCAATACAAAATAATGAAAACGATTAGCATTATTAGTCCCATGCCATTTGAAGCTTTCTAAATCCTGAAGCAGTAGAAATAGAATTCAAAAGAGTAACATAAATATTGTAATAAAATATATTACATAAAACAAAACAGTAACTGGTTAAAAATCATACATCACATTTTCAG